AGTGGCTGCAATGGCGTCTGTAAGGGATCCCCGGCATATGCAAGGCGAGGACCTTAACCATTACGCTATTGCACCGGACCCAATCCTAGTGCTTTCAAGGTGAGGACTTTAGCTGCTAGACTACCAAGTGGCTTTTTAATCTCTTGGTCAAACATCCACATGTAAGAATCAGGCTTTAGTAAGATTCCCAGATCCTACACTTCAGTACTGAGACCCAGGAGGCTGTATTGTCAGTCCCACTGCATGAGCCTCGATCGCCCATGGGCTTTGCTTGGCATGTGGGTCTGTTTCTCTGAAAAAAGCAGTTCCCAGAGTGCTCCCTTGAGTGGCAGTAGTTAGTGGGACACCTACCCTCTGCTACTGGAAGCAGTCTACTTCTTCTTTTGGAAGGACCTATGGTCAGGCTGCAATAATCGCCGCCCACCCCTCCCAACCAGATCACCTCTACTTGTTCCCAGATGTAGACTTGTAAATCAACACTACTGCTGTGTTGAACTAATGGGCAGATGGCAGACCAGGAGAGAGAGGGCACTAGCTCCTTTCAACTGCATCATCAGAACTTTGACCCGAGTTGCCAGGGAAATAGCAACAGACACTGTCCATGCACACAGATGGAGGAGTTTACAGCCTCATTCCCAAGGCAGAGGAGAGGAGAGTTCCAGGTCTTCTCCCTATTTTACCGACCCCCATCCCAGCTACATGAGAAGCAGAGACCCTCGGTATCTAAGCATGAGCTGTCACCGGATGCCTCCCAGAATATACCAGCAGGAAGCTGGATTGGAAGTGATCAAATACCTGAGACTCGAACCAGCACTCAGAAATGGGACACAGCTGTCCCAAGATGCAGCTGAACTCATGCTCCACAATGAATGTCTTGCTTTTCAAATGACATAAAACAAATATTTTGAAAAACTGTGAGTTGGAGGTACTGGTGCTGTAGTGTAGTACAGTGTTCCACGATGCCTAGCTCTAAATAAATATCATCTGTGAGTGGAGATGCAGCATCCCCTGTTCCCAGGCCTCCGAACGGGGTCCCCAGCATCGAGGTCTCCAGCACCCCGACCTGAGCAACTCCGAGCACGAAGCATTTGTCTCCTCCTGACCTGGGGCTCCTTCAGGCTGCAGCCACAGCCTTGCTTTGCACAGGAAAAGACAAGAGGACCTGCTCTGTTCCTTCCTCTGTATCCACTTTCCTTTCCTGCTCCCCTCATGCTCTCTCCTTTCTCTCTCTCTCTTTCCTGGGCCCCCATGCTCTCTGGGGAGATGCAGGATGACAGACAGGAGACTCCTTGGTGGAGGGGGTTGACGGGGGACAGACTCTCAGATGTGTCATGGGCAGCTGCCTGCAAAGGTCTGAGTGATGGCAGGGAGACGCCAGCAGCCTCATCCTGTCACCCTCAGAAGCCCCCTGGGACAGCAGGAAGCAGATTCCTGAGTCAAGCCCCAAGCAGCGGCTCATGCACACCTTCTGGCAACGGCCCAGCTTCTTTGTGGCGTCTCTCCGCCCCCCCACTCCCAGCATCCAGCCCAAAAATCTCAGCTCTGCCCCTTCCAGTCTTCACTCAGCCCCCAGCAATGGCTCTGGAGCAAGTGTGCAACTGGCAAGCTCCTGACACCCAGACCCCAACGCCACATCTGCCCCGGGCTGGCGGCTGGGCTGTCCCCAGGGGTTGCGACCCTCAAACCTTCCTGCAGCTCCACGGACCTCAGCTGGCCCATGGCACCACCACCCTGGCCTTCCGCTTCCGACATGGAGTCATCGCTGCAGCTGATACGCGCTCCTCCTGCGGCAGCTATGTGGCCTGCCCAGCCTCCTGTAAGGTCATCCCTGTGCACCAGCACCTACTGGGTACCACCTCTGGCACCTCTGCTGACTGTGCCACATGGTACCGGGTGCTGCAGCGGGAACTACGGCTGCGGGCCCTGAGGGAGGGCCAGCTGCCCAGTGTGGCTGGTGCAGCCAAGCTTTTGTCAGTCATGATGTCCCGCTACCGGGGGCTGGATCTGTGCGTGGCCACTGCCCTATGTGGCTGGGATCGCTCTGGACCCGCCCTCTTCTATGTCTATAGTGATGGCACCAGACTGCAGGGTGACATCTTCTCAGTGGGCTCTGGATCTCCCTATGCCTACGGTGTGCTAGACCGTGGCTACCGCTACGACATGGAAGTCCAGGAGGCCTACGCCCTGGCTCGATGCGCTGTGGCCCATGCCACCCACCGTGACGCCTACTCGGGTGGGTCTGTAGACCTTTTCCATGTGCGGGAGAGTGGATGGGAGTATGTGTCACGCGGCGATGCCTGTGTGCTGTATATGCAGCTGCTGCCGGAACCCGAGCCAGAGGAGGAGATCAGCCAGGCCCATTCTGAGCCTGCCATGCCCTACAGTGCAATGGTAACTGGGGGACTCTCTGCAGAGTCAGAGGAGGCGACACCAGGAGACTTTAGGATACCAGCGGAAACTGAGAAGCCGTGAGAAGCAGCACACTTGCAAGCGATTGATGGAGGCCCTGGGAGTAGGGGGCCGCAGATGCAGAGGCCCCCAGTATCTACTTCCAGCTGGATGGGGTTCATTTGGTTGGTTTTACGTCACTGCCTGTTCTGCCTCTATTTACAGCTCTGTTCAACAGGTCCCCTGTGTCACGCCCCGTGGCTTGGTCCAATCTGCAGGACACCTGCTACATGTTAGGGGAAGGACAATGCTGTTTCCTCACCGTCCCACGCAGTCTCTTTTTTCCCTGCCTCTTGGTCCTCCATCTCAACATCTCTGCTTTTCCTTCTCCTGGCCCCTGTTGTACCTGGCTGAGGGGGGAACGGTACCTCTCAGAAGTAGGTGGTGCGAGGAGCAGTTCAGGACCAGGCTGTGTGCCCTTGTGCCCTGCTGACAGCCCTGGCAGGGGATTGGCTTGGCTCATCCGCTGGGTGGTGGTGTGTGGGCGGGGGGGGGCGGGCCCTGAGAAGGGAAGAAGGGAGGGGCCCTCTGCCAGGACTGAGACAACGCCCCCCTACCTGTGACTGATTGCGGTTCTTACAACAGCCAGGAGAGGCCAAAACCACTCCTCAGGTTGCAGGAGAGGAATCAGAAAGAACTCTGTGGCCTGGCCCTACCTAGCAGGGAAGAGGCAGGGCTGGGGGCCCAGGCTTTCTTCTCCACACGTCCCCTCCAGGCCTCCAGGGTGTGATGTACAGGTAGGGTTGTTGGGGTCATGTCCCTGTCCAGTGGTTGGGGAGGAAAGGGCCAGGCCACCTTTCCTTGGAGCTACCTTCACCCCTCATCCCCTACCAAGCACCCACCGTGCTCTCTGGACTTGTTGCTGCAAGCCCGTCCTCCCGATGATGGCGTTTAGAGGTCGGCCACCAGCCCATGGGTCTTGCTGACATGTCTGTTTCTCCACACTCTGCTTTTCTCCTTGAATTGACTAATGAGGCGCACAAGGACTTCACGGGGGGCTTAGGGACAGGCAAAGGTCAGCTTCCCATTCCGGGGGACCGCTCACAAGCAGGAGTCTCAGGGGTCATCTTCTCTTGTCATTCTGCTCATTCCTGAAGCTGCAAGGTTTGCCCTGCCTGCCGGGCATTGGAGTCCTTGTGCCCCCTGACACCCTGTCTGGGGTACTCACTGCTTGCTGTCTTTGACGACCTTGGGGGAGACAGCCTGCTCTTTTCCCTGGACTATTAGTGTCCAGGGCACCAGCTCCAGCTCGGGGCTGGAGAGTTCTCCCTCCATCTGGTTGCCCTGACTAAGCAAGGTATAAGTGTGATAAGCCAGGTTCCCAGCTGCCAGCATGTCACACTTAGAAGGGAGGGTTTCAGGCTGTCTCAGCCCACTTGCTCCTGTGTCTCAGTTACCATGCTGGTTCCTGGGCCGATCCCGTCTCCACTTCTGGAAGGGAGCATTTAGGAGATGCTGGCAGCGCCTTCAGGCTGCCACTCCCCACCTTGGCTTTGATGATGTCCCTCCACAACCACCAAAACAAAGACCTTGGCCAAGAGGAAAATTAAAAGATGGAAGCAGGGCCCAGCGTAATGGCCTGGCGGCTAAAGTCCTGGCCTTGAATGTGCTGGGATCCCATATGGGTGCTGGTTCTAATCCCAGCAGCTCCACTTCCCATCCAGCTCCCTGCTTGTGGCCTGGGAAGGCAGTCAAGGATGGCCCAAAGCCTTGGGACCCTGCACCCTTGTGAGAGACCCAGAAGAAGCTCCTGGTTCCTGGCTTCGGATTGGTGCAGCACCAACCACTGTGGTCACTTGGGGAGCGAATCATTGGGCAGAAGATCTTTCTCTGTCTCTCCTCCTCTCTGTATATCAGACTTTCCAATAATAAATAAATAAATCTTTTAAAAAAAAGATGACTGCATTTTTTTTTTTTTAAAGATGGAAGCTAAGCCCAGGGTAGGTCCTGTCCCATTCAGACAGCAGGCTTTCCAGATCCCAGAAAAGGCTAGCCTGCCCTCCCCCCACAATCCACCACTCACAGTCTGAGACCCTGGCTTCCTTTTCGGCTTCCTGTCTCCCCATCCTCAACAAGTCCCTCCATCCCACTCCCCTTAGACAACCAGAGACCAACAGGGACATCGAAACAGCTGGTGGCAGCAATGGGAGGCATCAGCGTCATCTCCTTATTCCCTAAATGCAGAAGCCCAAACTCACCTCTGGTGATGGCTTTGAGCCCAATGAGAATGAGCTGGGGGGTGGGTGGTGCTTGCCCTCTGCTCCCACTTCTGCATCATCTGAACACAGTGAAACAGGCAAAGCCCCACCCTTACAAAATAAAGTGTTCGTTTATTATGAAATTAGAGATGGAGGCCCCTCCCCTTCCTCCCTCTTTCCCCTTTCCCAGCTGCCTCCCTTTCTCTTCCCCTCCCTGCCCTTTCCCCAGGGAGGGGAACCTGGGAAGCACAGAGCCCAGGCCCAGAGCTGGGAGGCCCAGGGCAAGGTTGACAGCTGGACAGAGCTCCAGGGAGGCGGCAGCCGCTGTCAGGGCTGGAGCTCAGGCCCTGGGCAGCTGGGCTGGCTCTCTCTCTCTCTCTGCTGGAGGCTGCGGAGCCAGGATGAGGCCATGAGTGATGGATGGAACCATGCGGGCAGGTCTGTAAGAACAGGAGCCGGGCATCAGAGCCCCAATGGGGGGCAGGGGAAGAGCTGTACCCCACCTCCTCCCAAGTCAGGGTCAAGGGCCACGGACCTGGGGCAGAGCATCCCCTGCAGGAGGGTGGGCAGCAGTGGCTGGATGTTTCCCTTGTTTTTTTTTTTGTGGGGATGAACAACAGAAGAAAATAAAACACCCAAAAGGCCAGTCACAGGGACCCACAGAGGAGACGGGAGGGTGGGCAGGAGACGGACATGGCATGAGTTGGAGGAGGGGGCACGGGAGACAGAGAGAGCTTCAGGAACACAGGGACAAAAGCCACCACGGAGGGGTTGTCACAGTGAGAGAACGAAGGATGTCACCGCTGACACGCAGATCCGGGGACAGAGACGTGAGGATGGACCAGTGAGGGACGATTAGGGAGCCCGGGGAGGAGGGAAAGAGGAGGAGGCTGGGTTCCCTGGGCTGCTGCCACCTGCCTCGGCCCCTCCCCTCCCCTGCCCCATCCGAGGGGCTCACTTCTGCGGGCCTGTGCACACTGCCCTGCCGAGGCAGGCAGGGCCAGGCCCCGGGGGACTCAGAGGGCTGGGGGCTCCTTGGCCCCGTAGAGCTCGGCCAGGGTGTGGAAGAGAGGCCCCCAGTCGTCCAGTGGCTCGACGGGGCCAGGGGCACCGCCGGCCTCACTGCCGGAGCCCAGCGAGCTGAGCGAGCCGCACGAGGAGCCCCGGCCCTCGTAGCCGTACACCTGCACCGAGTCGTAGGGCGGCACGCTGGGGTCGTCGTCTGCCTCGCGCAGCCGCAGCGCCAGCAGCTGCGCCACGTCGGCGGGGCCCGGGGGCCGGGGTTGGCGGGGTGCGCGTCCCCGGGGCAGCACGTCAAGACGCGTTGTTGGGGTGGCGCTGGCGGCAGCTGCTGGGGCTGCCCCGTCGGGGTTCTGAAGGGCCGTGATATCGAAGGCCTCCGTGTCCTCCTCGCCCCCGCCCTCGTCGTCGTAGGTTATGATGTTCTCACGCACGTCTTCCTCCTCCAGCACCATAAGTGCCTCCTGCTTCTGCCGCCGCAGGGCCACAAAGAGCACCACCAGCGCTGTGGAACATCATAGAGGCCGCTGGGTTGCGACCATTTCACCGGCCCCGGGACCACACAGAGCAGGGAGCACAGCGCAACTGCCTCTCTGAGCCTTACTTAGGGGCCACATACAGATCCTATAGGCCTCTTGGGGTTGTGGGAAACAAGAAGCCAGGCACCACACTTGGCCCAGAGTGGAGCATAATAGATAATGTGTATGTCTTGTTACTGGCACTGGGCATTAGCAGGTCCCAACTTCTCCCCTGGATGCAGCAGGTGGCAGGAAGATCTATATCCCCCCTGGGGAGCTCCTTCCCTCCAGCACGGGGGTGGGGGTGAACACATTCATTCCCTGCATCTGGGGACCTCTCTGTCCACCCCTGCAGCCCGTGGTGACCTGACTCACCAAGTAGGGTGCTCACACAGGTGATGATGGCCAGCAGGGCACCAGTGCTGAGCCCAGCAGGTGACAGCTGAGCCTCGGGCCGGCAGGATGCCACGGAGCCATCAGGCCGGCAGCGGCACACACTCACGGTCACGGTGGCAGTGCTGCTCAGTGCTGGCTGCCCCCAGTCCCACAGTGCTATGGGGACCAAGTAGGGGGCCTGGCGGGGCAGAGCAGGGCGAGAGGGCAGCAGCAGGCTGGCAGAGCCATCTGCGGGGGGGGGGCGGTAAGAAATGTGGGGCACCCCTTGGCATTCCCTTTGCCCAGGGTGAAAGGGGAACTGCCTGGGGAACCAGCCTCCCAGGGGTAGGTTTGCAGGGAGCAAAAACAACAACAAAACCAAGTGCAAGTGCATTTCAGAGCTCACATCTCCTGGGTTGGTGAGAGGCCCACATAGGCGGGGCTGGAGACCAGGGAGGCCACTTACCTCGGTTATCCCGAACGGTAAAATTGGCATCAGGGCCCAGGGGACCCTGAAGGGAGACACGGCTACTGTTGCCGACTTCATCCCTGTCCAGGGCCCGGATGACCTGGATGAGCTGTGAGGAAGCAAAGGGGCCTAGTCCCAAGTGGGCCCCTGGAGGCCTCAGGCTCCTGTACCCCCCACTCCCATCGCTGCTCACCTGGCCAGGGGCTGCGGAGTCACACACAAAAGTGTCGTAGGGCTCTGCTAACTGGGGCGCATTGTCGTTCTCATCCAGGGTCTGGATGGCTACCTGCACCCGGGAGGCCTGGGAGGAGCTGTCTGAAGCCAGGACACCGATACAGATGGAGACAAAACAGTTGATGCACTGTATCTGTGAGATGTGGGTGCCTTCCCTGCGCACTGCACACATACACAGAGGATGTGTGCAACACACAGGTCTGAGGTCAGTGAGGCAGCACCAAGTGCGTGGTGTTTGGGACCAGTGAGGGGGGCAAGACTCCACACACACTGTATGGGACACAGGGTAACCCACAGGCAGGGCTCCTGCGGCCCAGGTGAAAGGCAGATAGTTTGTATGTAGATGACAGCCCTGCAGTCCACATGCATTCACACCCTGTATCTCGGGGACACTCAGTGGGTACATCACTGGGGCTCCTGTGAAGTGGCTGACCCGCTCAATGACTGCAGCAGCACCCCTCCCCCCCCCCGCTGGGGCCCACAGAATACAATTTCAGGCACAGCACCTGTGGGAGGGACACACACACACACACACACACACACACACACACACACACCATCATCAGAGGGCTGGGAAGCTGTGGTGCAGCAATGAATATCACTTAGTGTTGGCCTTGGGGAGGGATGAGCTGCTGCCATCACTTACAGAACCCAGGACAGCCTGGGCCCCCCTGCCAGGCACAGCGGCCCCCACCCCGCTCTTTATACAGCCATTCATCAGGTGCCTCCCCCTGCTAATGTCCAAAGGGACAGTAAACAAGTGTGGATTCTAGTAACTTCTCCCTGGCTGAGTCTCCCATGTCCTTCAGCCTTTCCCAAGGCAGAGCAGACTGGCTTCCTGGAGACAGCCCCGGGGATAGGGTCCCTGCTTTCACTGCTGTTGGGGCCTACAGCTGCAGGTTGATGATGGGGTGAGACAGGAGCAGGATACAGAGGCGAGATGGGACGCACACCCACACGCACGCGCGTGCACGGGCACAGCTATGTATACACAAGCAGCCTGCTGCAAACACAACTCCACATGTATACACACCCACAGGGCTAGCCACACAGCCACAGACACACGCTTGCTAGGCGGCCAACAGTTGCACATATAGGCACATAGGAGGAGCTGATGGCTCAGGCTTGGCAGACTGTCCCCCAACCCCACTCCAACTGGGTGACTTTGGGCAGTTAACTCCTCATTTGAAGATGGGGACTCGGGGACCAGCGTTGTAACGCAGCATGTACAGCTGCTACTTGTGATGCCAGCATCCCATGTGGGTGCTAGTTCAAGTCCTGGCTGCTCTACTTCCCTGCTAATGTGCTTGGAAAAGCAGTGGAGGACGGCCCAAGTGCTTGTGCCCCTGTACCCACATGGATGACCCAAAAGAAGCTCCTGGCTTCAGCTTGGTCACTCTCAGGCCATTGTAGCTACTTGGGGAGTGAATCAGCAGATGGAAGATCTCTCAGGTCTCTCATTCCCTCTCTTTCTGTGTAACTCCTTCAAATAAATAAATGCATCTTTCCAATCTGCTCTCTACTTACTGCCTAAAAAAGCAATAGAGTGTGGCCCAAAGCTTAGGACCCTGCAGCTTCGTGAGAGACCTGGAAGAAGCTGCTGGCTCCTGGCTTCAGATCAGCTCAGCTCCTGCTGTTGAAGCCATTTGGGGAGTGAACTAGTGGACAGAAGACCTGCTCTATCTCTCCTTCTCTCTGTAAATCTGCCTTTCCAATAAAAATAAATAAATCTTTAAAAAATAAGGTAATTGATATAAAAATGTGGGGACATAGTCTCAACTGCCTCACAAAGCTGTCATGAAGGTGGAATGAACAAACTCATTTTGGGGGGCTTGAACCACAACTTGCTTCACACTAAGAAGCATCAGCGTCAGCTGCTGCCTGCCAACACCTGCACATGCCCAACGACGCTTCCTTTTGGAAGTGCCTTTTAAAGGCCCAGCGAGAGCACAGATTACCAACCAACCAGGCCTGTGCTTTCAAACGAAGATCTTTACCTCCACCATCCCTTCCAAACTTCCTGCACCATGCTTACATACCCACATGTGCTTGCGGCTACTCTCCAGAGAGCTACCCACCCAGACACACAAACAGCATTACTGAACCCTACACACACACACACACACACACACACACACACACAAACACACATACACGACTATGTCTGTATCCAGTTAGAGCTTCATGCTCACCAGCATGAGTGAGAATCATACAGACCCCTGAGCACACACCTGCCCATACCTACACACCTACGTGCACACACACACACACACACACACACACACACACACACACACACGACTGGCCATTGCTGATTCTACAGCATGAGTGACAGCAGGGAATGGGACTGCCCCAGGCAAAGCAGGGTATGTGGGGAGATGTTGGGGTAGGGGGAAGGGGGATGAGGGGATTGTTCTAGAGCCAAGGTTAGGGCTGCAGGGGACTGACAGGAACACGGAGCTGGTACCCTCCACTATAGTGGGGGGTCGCTGCCAGGCATCCAAGGGGGCTTTTTCAGACAGTGACTGCTGCTGCTCCCCCTGCCTGCTGGTGCTCCCAGGAGCGATGCCCAGCTCCAGCCTGAAGCTGGCAGTGGGCAGGACAGGGCCTGGCAGTCCCTGGGTAGTGACTTTTTTGGGGCCTTGTTCATTCTTAAGGTCAGCGAAGAAAGTGACTCCAAGCTTAGGAGAATGATCGGGTAGGCTCCTGGGGCCCAGCTCGACAGACAGGAGGCCTGCTTGCCAGGGACCCGGGCTGGAAACACTGGCAGGAAGCATTCCTCTCCCCAGCACATGGGGACAGCCCCATCTGCCAGCAGGCTGCTGCCTCCCTGTAGGCGCAGGATTCTCACCGAGTTCCGTGGCCAGCACTGTGAGGTTGTGCCACACGTGAGCCTCGCGATCCAGGGGCACTGCTGTGCGGATGGTGCCATCCTCGGGCTCGATGGAGAAGCAACGCTCGGGATCCGAGTGGGGGAGGATGGAGTACCTGAGGAAGGAGGAGGGGCAGAGCCAGAGCTCACTGACGCCCCTCTGTTCCTTCCTCCTTCCTGGGAGGACACCACCATTAGGCCCCTGTCCTGGGACTGGGCCACCTGGCTCCCCAGAGAGGGGAGAGGAGATACAGAAAGAGGTGCAGGGCCCCTGTCTTTCCTCCATTCTGGAGAACCCAGGAGCCCCCCATCTGTCCTGTTCTGTTTCAGAGTGGTTGGGTGACCCCAGATAAATCATTTAGTCTCTGTTTACCCAACTGTCAAACGGGAATGGTACCATCCTTCGCCTCATTGATCTGCTGCAGGGATGCTGGCAGGGGAGGCAGCCAAAGGGGCTATTCTCAAGGCCACAGCCAAGGCCAGATTCGAGTCCTGAGCTCTGTCTCGAGCTGCCCACTCCAATCCTGGCAATTTTAGCCAGTCCCCAGAATGACTGCTGCAGCACCCACTGGATGGGACTCTTGGGAGAGCGAGATGTTACCGAGTGGGACAAACAAAAAGCACAGAGCAGCGGGAGATCCACCGAGCGAAGGAGATGATGGTTTTTGGCAGCACCATCACTGCCTCCCAAGAGGTGGCTGGCAGTAAGCTGCCAAGTGCTCTGTCAGGGCACTTCTTGCAGGCCTCCCAAGCACTCAGGTCAGCAGACCAGCAAACTCGATGGCTAGTGAAGGGGACATACCCTGAGGCCCCATCCATCTCCCAGCTCACCTAATAGGGCTAGCTGGGGAGTCCAGGTCAGAGGCTGAGACTCGGCCCACCAGGGTCCCCGGAGCCTTGTTCTCAAGCACCGTTAGGTGGTAGGCGTCCTGGGTGAAGGCAGGTGGCTCAGGGGCGTCCTGCACGGCCACACGCACGGAGGCCACATCCTTGAAGGGCCCTCGCCGCAGGTAGGCGGGGTCAATGAGCGTGTTGGTAGCCTCTACTCGGAAGGAGTAGGAGCGTCGGGTCTCGAAGTCGAGGGGCTGCAGGATGGGGAGGGCACAGAGTGAGCAGGTCAGGGCAGATCCCAGGCTCACGGGAGAGCTGCTGAGTGCCTTCCCGGGCCTGCCCCTTGGACCTGGGTCTAAGTCCTCATGGGGAGCAGTGGTACTGGAGGGCCTGTGGCAGGCAGGCTGGGCTGCACAGGTGAGGTTGGCGGCTCTAATCTGCCCCAGCTCTGTCCTAGATGTGTTAAGTGACCTTGAACCAGTTTCCCCACGACAACTCCCTGGCCCAGCTTCCAAGGACCACCTCCTCCGCCCCCAGCCTGTTCTGCAAGATGACATGACTGCAGACTTGGCGCTTTGCATCACATCAGAGTAGTCCTGAGTCTGTTCATATCCCCCAGGTGGGTAGGGGGTGGGGGAAGGGGGAGCAGGGAGCAGGTGCGAGGGAGCCTGCAGGTGTCAGTGGGTGGGAAGCAAACCTTGAGCACAGTGAGAAGCCCATCCCGGCCCTGCGCGTCTGCACTGATGCTGAAGGTCTCGGAACCCTCCCCATCCAGGATGCTGTAGGCCATGAGGGCATTGTCGCCCAGGTCTGGGTCCTGGGCTTGCAGTCGGCCCACCAGGGTGCCAGGCCCAGCTGTCTCCACCACAGAGAACTGGTACACACCTGGCAGGAGCAGAAAGGCAGGCTGATTCCTGAGACAGGTCCCCAGTCCTTCCTCTTAACCCTCCCACAGCTCCCATCCCAGCACTTCCCTTCTCCCGCTGTGCACAGGCTGGCTGTGGTGGGGATGGGAAATGACAAGCCTGTGTGTGGGGGTGGGGTGAGGTCAAAGGACCAGTGAAGCAGTGGCCTTACTCTGGGGGAACTTGGGGGGGTTGTCATTGACGTCGCTGAGGGTGACAGTGACTGTTGTGCTGCCCGACAGCCCCCCCATGTGGCCACCCATGTCTTTGGCTTGGATCACCACCAAGAACTCCTCCTGTGTCTCCCGGTCCATGTTGGGGATGGCCGTGCGCACCACTCCTGGGGGAGAGAGAGGCAGTGGCTCACCAGCAGGCTCCTCCATGGGTGTCCCCTCCACCCTACCCCCAACCCTGAAGTGCTTTCCTCACCAGTTTGGGGGTCCACAGAGAAGAACGGCAGCCCATCCAGCACCGTGTACACCAGCTTGGCGCTGTTCCCGTAGCTGGGGTCGTCAGCGTCGTGGGCAGTCACCTGGATCACTGATGTCCCTGGAGGGATCCCAGCTTGCCCGTCAGCTCAGCCATTGGGAGGGGGGCAGGGGACCCAGGTGGGAGGGAGGCTAGGTAGGCGATGGGGAGTTCTAGGGTGGACAGCTCCCTGCAGAGGTGGGACTGGGGCGCTCACCAACGTTGGACATCTCAGGGACTGTGGCGTGGTAAGGCCCGAGGGGGAAGACGGGCGGATTGTCGTTGATGTCCTGCACCTTGATGATGAACTCGGATGGAGGCTCCAGGGGCCGGTTGGAAGCTCGATCCACGGCCTGGGCCAGCAGCACATACTGTGCCTTCTCCTCTCGATCCAGGCTCTTGGTAACATGGATATTGCCCGTGGCCTCGTCGATTACAAACACTGTGCCTGCGCCCTCCCCAGTCAGCAGGTACTTGGTGCGGCCCTCACCACGGTCTACGTCCGAGTGTAGCTGCGGAGGGTCAGAGAGTGGTGGAAGGTGCCAAGGGCAGGGCCAGAGACTTAAGAGACCAGGTCTAGGGGCAGTGGGATGGAGGGCATTTGGGGGGACCAAGGTCACCATGGAAGAGAAAGGAGGAAACCATGGGGCAGGAGAGCCCTGGGGGCAGGGGAGGCTTACCTTGCCAATGAGGACTGGCTCGGGACCGGCGTATTCCTCAATGACAAAAAACTGGTTCCAGACCCAGCTCCTCCGGGTTCGCAGCAATGCAGACCCTGGACGCCCACGGGACCCTGCCCAGGCCCAGGCGGGGGCTGCCAGCCGTCCCATGCAGCCCCAGCCCCCCAGCCAGGCCAGCAGAAGTCTCACCAGGCCCCACATGCTTGGGGTGGAGCCAGGGCTCTGCTCACGGGCCCCTGGTGCTGTGGCTGGGCCAGGCCAGGTAGCCCATGAGTTGGCCGGGGCAGAGGGGCAGAGGCGTTGGGGCTACCCCATGGATGCACACCTGTGGGACAGGTAGCTGTTCAGGGTCAAGGTGGTGATGCTTGACACTCCCTCCTGCTCTCCCCCGTGAGATGTCCGGACTGAGGGTACAGTGTAGCTGGTCTGACCTGTCCCTCCTCCCTTTCTGGGCTTTGCCTGCAGCCACCTCCCTTCCAGCCCTCCAAGCTGTTTCATCTCTGGCCAGCCAGCTCTGAGAAGGGAAGCTGGGGAGGGGGACAGGGGTGGTCTTGGAATCCCAAATTCCATCTCCTGTCCTTCCAGCTGGGTCTGGGGTGGGGATGGGGGCTGGAAGAGGTGACCAGAGAAAGGCTTCAAATCAGCGGCTTGGCACTCCGGGAGGTGTGGCTTTAACCTGCCTAGGGTTAGGTTGAGAGATGACACGGCGGCGTGCAGCCAAGGCCAGGGTGTATGCAGAGCCTGCCAAAGTCCCTCCGGCTCTGCAGACACTGCCCCAGCCCACCCTGCTGCCGCTGTGACAGTCCCTCAAAGTGGGATGGGGCTCAAGAGGTTGTGGAGGGGCAGCCCAAGCTGGAGGAGCAGGGAAACAGAGACCCAGAGCCACCGGGGGCCAGATGGGCTTGAGGACTGTCCGGCAGAAGCAGCGAGAGCCACCAAAGCAAGCAGCAATAGACGGAGGGAGCGATAAGGCAGGCAGCCTTGGTGCCTGAGCGGCACAGAAGCAAGCAGGTACTAGGCTGGGGCAGGGAGCAGGGGGCGCTTGCAGTAGATGCCTGGGGCTGAGGGCGGGGGTCAGTCCAGGCCTAGGCAACTTCATTCTCGAAAAGGGAGCAGCAGCCTGGGGAGGCAGAGATGGGGAGGGGCTGCGGGAGGGAGGGGAGCCCAAGAGAAGACCTGGTCCCCTGCGTGGGCTGGCCCTCCCTCTCCTCCTGGGGAGAGCGGTGGTGGCCGGCTGCCCGCCCCTCCTCCGTCCCCCGGAGCAGACACACACCTGACAGTCAGTTTGCTCCCGGAGGGAAGCTGGGAAGCTGAGAGGAAGGCTGGGCGAGGAGGAGAGAGGGCATGGGGTAAGAGGAGTGGCAAACAGGATAGCAGGAAGGTGAGAGGAGAGCCGAGGGAGGGCATGAGGAGGAAAGGAGAGCGGGAAAGGGAAGAGCGAGAGCAAAGGTAGAGGGGGTAAGGGAAGGCAGAGCGGGAGAGGCGTTGGGGAAAGACAGGACGGGCAGAGCGGGAGATGAGGGTTGGGGAGGCAAGCAGCAAAGGGCAGAGAAGGCGGAGACGAGGAAAGGGGAAGAGTGACCGCGAGAAAAAAGCGGAGAGGAGCGCGGGCAGAGCGCGGGAGAAGAGAGCCGGCAGCGAGCTTCCAGCCACGGAGCGCCCCACGCTGAAGACACCCGCAGGCTGCGGGGCCCCCTGCTGCCCCTTCGCGGATTCCCGATCCTCGGGGCTGCAGGGCAGGCGGGCCCTTACCTGGTACTGCCGAGGGGCCCAGGCTGGCCGGGAGCGCCCCCGCCGCCGAGTCCCGGGGGCGCAGCCCCGAGCCGGATCGGAGCGGGCGCCGCGGCTCCGCTGCAGGTCTGAGCGGCCCCGGCGAGAACAAGGGAGCGAGACGGAGGGGGCGGGGGAAGGAGGCTCCGCCTGCGGAGGAGCGAGGCGGCTCCGCGCCGCGCGGGAGAGGAGAACCCAGCCTCCGACCCTCCCCGGCCAGCCGGGCCCGCGCGCGGTGGGGGCGGGGGCGGCGCCTGGCGCCCGCCCCCTCGGCGCTCCCGGGCTGCGGGGCGCATACAGATGCGGCGCCCCTTCTGGGCCGGCCCGCAGCGCCCCGGCAGGGCACTGAGGCGGGAGGACATCCAGGCCACGGCGCCAGGTCCTTTTCCAAGAGCTGGCTGGGAGGGCGCGTCCGGGAGCTTGGAGCCGCCAGCACGCCCTAAGCGGCGGGGTCAGGCGATCCGCGAGGTGGGTTAGCATCCCACCGCGGGGGACCCGGCGCCCCGTTCCTAGACTGGCTCCTAGGGCTGGGGTAGGACTCCCGGCGTGTTGGGAGCCCCGTGCGGAGTACAGTGGTGGGTCGACTGGTGTGTTCTTAAGGGTAACACAAGGTCCCAGGGGCCCACAAGCCGGGTCCAAGGAACGTGGCACGACATAGGAGGGAGGGTGGAGGTGGGGAGCAGTCTTTTGGAGAAGCTCATTTACTGGGGCCCGTACAGCGAGGGTCTGCCGCCCCCTGGTGGCAATTTTGGGAAGCACCTCAAAGGTGGCGAGCAGGTGAGAACGTCTGGTGCACAGGACCAGGAATTAGGAGAGCGACCTTTCTAGTCCTGGTCAGGAGCCCCCTTTCCCTGCACCCCCCTCCTACCCGCCACGCGAATACAGGGCACTCCATTCCACAGGGCGTCTTCCCTTCTCCCCTCAAAGCAAGGAGACCTACATCTCCGGGATGGTTAGAACCAGGGCAGGATGGAGGACAGCCTGTTAGAAGGCCTTTGGTCCAGCAATTAGTGAAAACGAGCCCAAAAGAGCGGTTGGAATACATGCAGGCACTGCATGCTCCAGGCTGTGGCCATGCCCTTTGGTTTGGCTGTTTCCCCCAGGCCCAATGAAAGCCACTCATACACTATTTAAAACTAAGTCAGATTTTATTCTTTTTCATAGACCACATCATTTAATAATAAAAAAAATAAAAATAAAAATTGAACAAAAGGAAAAGGTGGATATAAAGTGGAACCGGTCAGCAAGAGGCAAGGCTGCGGGAGAGAAGAGTGGGAACTGCAGGGGCCCCGGGCCTCAGGAGGGGACGCTGATTCAGCTCATAGGTGACCCAGTCCTGGCCCCGGCTGTTCCCAAGGAGGCTGTGAGTACCCAAGGGAGGTGGTGTGAAAAGGATGGTCAAACTGGAAAAGTAGAGGGACACCTGGCTTTCCCCACTCAACCACCCTCCGCCTTAACCTAGCTCTTCCCTCTCACAGACTCAACAAGGGAAATGAGAGGGAGGAAAGGGCCAAGTCCCAGAAGTTAGGTTAAGGGGGTGGGAGAGGACAGCCACTGCTCCTTTTGGTTGTGGGGACAGGTGGCAGCCAGACACGAGCACTGGGCAAACGGTGTGAGGAGACCCTTGGTTCCAGGGCGGTGGAGATTGTACCTATCCTGCTGTGGCCTTGCACCCCCCTCCCTCGGGACAGAGCGGCTGGGACTGGCAGCTCTCCTAGTGTTTTCCCGGCTAGCGGCGCCCACCCCGGTCCCGCACCGGTGTGCTCCGACTCCGGCTCCGGCTGTGGCGCTTGGTGTCTCTGCGGTCGCGCTCCCGGCCCCTTTCCCGGTCTCGCTCCCTGTCTCGGTCTCGTTCGCCCCTGTCTCGCTCCCTCTCCCTCTCTCGCTCTCTCTCCCTCTCCCTGCTGTGCTCCCGCCTCTTCTCCCGCTCCAGCTGCCGGGTCCGTTCCCGCTCAGCTTCCTTCTCCCGCTCCTTCTGCTCTTCTTCCTCTTGCTCCTTCCGCCGTTTCTCTCGCTCCTTGGCCCGTTCAGCCCGCTCTGCCTCCTTCTGAACAATCTGCAGCCAGGGAGAAAGGCAAAGGGTTGGCACTTCAGCCCCACTCCGTCCCCCTGCGGTCCTAGTTCAGGGTCTCTGGCCCTGTTGGTGAACACGAAGGGCCCAGCTGGGACTCGGCTATCACCTGTCTTCCCCAGGGCACCTGTCCTGCCTCTAAGTTTCCAACTCTTACACACATACTAGGTACAGGCATCACCCCCACCTGGTCTTTGGTGTTTTCCTAGTTTCCGTCAGCTTGGATGTAAACAAATCTTTTTCCTTTACTCACATAGTCTAAGCCTAAAATTCCCAAAGGCCCATTACTGTGAAGCTGATTTTAACAAGTAAAAACTCTGGAGACTGAAACAGGTGAGTTTGTCAAACAGCCTTCCCAGCTGACTGAAATCACGCTCTAGGAAGCTTGGCTGGCCCTGCCAACTTCAGTTCCTGCTGCCCAGGGCACACCGTTTTGTACAACTGCCTCCCTGTATCTCTCCTAACGCAGGCGGTGGGCCAGCGTGCTCCTGCGGTCCTCCAACTTTCCCCATGCACTGACTCTGGCCCAGATAGCACTCTGAAGATGGCACAGAGGAGGCCACTCACCTGGCTGTCGGTCAGTGGGAGCCAATAAATGCAAGGAGCTGCCTTGGTCTTCCGGAAAAGGTCATCCAGCAGCTTGGCAGGTGGCTCCTCCTGGGCCTTTTCTGAGGTGGAACAGAGGGGGTCACACCGAGTCCCTGGGCCCTCTGCCCCAGCCCACCTCCCAGCAGATGTGTGCCAAGTACCTTTTTTCTCACTCTTCTTCTCTTTTGATTTTGCACGTTCCTTGCGGCGGCGGTCACGGGAGCGTGACCGGGAACGGGGTCCCTCTCGCACTTTGTCCCGATCCCATTCCCGCTCTGATCGGGTTCGCTCCCGCCGCTCCATTTCCCGTTCCCGCTCTGCCCACTGCTCTCGTACGGCTCGTTCCTGCTCCCGCTGCTCTGCCCGGGGATGCTGTGGTGGCTGGACTGGGGGTGGGGGTGGGGGGTGCAGGGGTCGTGGTACCCCTTGCTCCTCTGCCTTTGCTTCAGAGGGGCGGTCCACCAAGAGGCCCCGGTGATAATCCAGCTGTGGGCAGAGGAGGGACAAGAACCGTCAGGATTGAATCCAGATCCTTGAGGCCCATGATTCAACTATAGAAACCAGAGAGGAAGGGAGGAGAGCAGAGCAAAGAGCAGCGACTTGGGGACCGCAGCTGTGCCTGGGGTCAAAGTTGGAATCCAGTGGGTAACGGCTTCCACCTGCACGCCAACTCCCCTTACTTTACTGAGGTCTCTTACCTCTTCTTGCTCAGCATAGTCAGCACAAAGGAATTTCGGGTTGGACTGTGGCCACTTGACTCCATGCAGAGCAGTGCGGGTGGCAACTGCCTCCTCTACTGTTGAGTACTGGTGGAGGAAGGAAGAAGGCAGAAAATCATGGCATGCCTTCAATCCATCCCATCTGCTATATCACCTTGAACCCTGCTGTCAGTCACACAAGGAAGATGCCACAACCCCCAGAACGAGCTTCTTTCCTACCGTGACAAAGCAGTGAGACTTGATCTTGTCAATCCAAAAGGCCTCCTCCACCAAGGTTCCTGTGCGGCCCAATAACTCCTTTAGCTGGCCTAAAGTGAAGGGTCGGACCTACCAAGGAAAACAGACATTGGAGGTTGGGGAAAAGCAAGCCCAACTTCCACATGAACAGTGCTAAGACTTCCCCAGCTGCCGCTGCGGGAATGGATCTGGGAGTGTTGGTGAGGGCAGAGCAGGAGTGCCGAGGGTGAGTGCAGGCAGCACTCAAACACACATCACGTGCTGAGCCTCGGCAAATCCTGTAGGAGGTAGTTTTCTCTTCTCATTTTACAGATGAGGGAACAGGTTAGGAGCCTAACCTAAGAAGCCCCAGCCACTGAGCAAATTTGGAATGTGAGAAACAAGTGACTTACCAGGTTGGAGATATGGACAATGTTACTAATCTTGCCACGGGGCGGGGAGGGCACCTGGGCGGTTCGCACAGGGTCATCGATGGTGATGGACACTCCAGACTTCTGCTGGCTGATGGAGCGCCGAGTTAAGGTGTCGCCTAAAGTCACTGTGGGAGAGCACACGGACAGCTCTTATGAGGAGCAGTGTTGGCTTTCCTGCCTCTAGACTGAGCACATGGCCCCCACTCCTCACTGCCAAGCTTGCTAGTCCGGAGGGCTGAAGGGGCAGGAAGTGTGAGGGCGCCAAGCAGAGACCTGCCCCCACAGGACATGCATGCAGTGCTCTGGGAACACTGGACAGTTGCTGTCCAGAGCCTCACACACCTTTCTTGACTTCATGCTCCACAGGTGGGGGCAAGGCCACCTCCACCGACACCTGGGGAGGCACAGGGGGTTCTGCTTCCGGCTCCTTCTCCTCTTCCTCTTCTTCCCGCTGCCCGTTCTCCTGGCCCTCTGCGGGGACGACCTATAAGGGTTATCAGATTACAGAGGGCATCTGTTAACCAGCAATGGACACTTTTTCCAGCCTGGCTCCCTGGCTAGCAGAGCTTGCTGCTGTTGCCAGCATATGCTCCCAGTATGTTTCATCCTTGGGGGAGAGCTTGCTCCCACCAGATCCTGTCACGGTCAACACCCCCAAATCTGACTCAAGGACAACTGGGGAAGATAGTTGGCACTGGAGGCCAACTCACCACAACTTGATTTTTGCTACTACAGTGTGCCAGTGGGCCGAAGCCATGAGCCAGTGCACTGCTGTGGCTACGCTCCAATCAAGCTTCCCTTCCAGGAGGCAGCCAGCTGGCCGGGCATTCTGACCCCTGGAAGTGCCAATTAACCCAGCCCTCTGCCCTGAGAGCGGAGTCCCCTCCATGGCAGTAACTTGGCTCCTCAGCGGCCTGCTCCATGCCCAGCGCCCTGGCCCAATGCTGGAGAGCGAGCGGCAGCCGCACCTGAGTGACTGTCCGGCATATTTTCAGCCCCTTGTCGTGGGTCCCGTCGTCGCCATTCCGCTCTGTCTCATCCTCAGAGATGCGGGAGTCATCGGCATGAAGATCCACGACAGCCTCCTGCCCCGCCAGGGGTTTGATGTCGGGGATGAGGCTCTGGGACACAGATACCCCCCACCCCGTTACACTGGGCCCAGATCTACTCCCACCTTAATGGGGTCATCCTCCCTTCCACGGCTCTCCCACCTCACCTTGAGTGACTCGGTGGTGATACTGATGGAGGGTTTCTTCTGTGTGGTGGCTGTGCTGGCTCCCCAACGCCGCTTCCGACCAGGCTGGCCCCCCTCTGTGTCACTGTTTCCAGCTGGCACCCCCTTGGTAGCTGCTGTCCCCAAGAAATAGGACCCAACAGTTAGATGGTCTCAAGCCTCCTGCTGGTTTGCAGTACAATACCCACAGGTCGCCTTCGGCCAGCATTTTAGAAGAGGTTAACTCAGGGAAATCACATCTGGGGGTTTGGGGAAACCACAGTGTCAGAGCAATAAGGCCTGGACTTCCCCTCCAGGCACATGGAAGCTCTGTATTTCTAAGAGCAATGAGGGAGGAGTAACTCATTTGGTGAGCAGCTTAAACTTTTAGTGGTAGACAGAAATATCTATAAAGTAGTGGGGAAGGAAGACTAAAAAGGATTGGGATACAGGAGACAAAAGCGCACTCTGGAACACAAACATCTAACTAATTGAAACTCGTGATATGATCTGATCATTCTTTAACTGTCATAGTATAGGTTGATAGTTTCAGGTACACACACCTATATTAGCGTTACTTTTCTAATCTGAAGTTCTTCACTGGGAAAATGCTAAAAATACTACCAAGCATGGAGTATTTTCTATTTCCTTAGGCGCAATTTGAGAATAGTTTAAGCACAAACTGGTAAGCATTCTGTGGGAATTCTTCACACTCATTCCTGGTTTGGGAAACATCAAATGCCTCCAAGACTAGATGGGAATGGTTAGAGATGTGCATGTTCTTATTATAATGTGATGGGGGGGGGGGGACGGAGAGGACAGGGATTGCCTGAAGCTCTGAACCTTAAAATAACCCTCCTCAGGCCAAGGGGGACACAGGCCTGAAGGGAGGGAGGGGTACCCCCAGAAGGCCACCGACAGTGCCCAGGAGTCTATTTCTCTGTGAAGCTGGAGTTCTATGGCGTTCCTGACCTTTATCAGGGATTCAGGGCTGGACTTACAGACAACGGAGATCTTCCTCTTGAATGATTTGGGCAGTGAACTCTGTATAGAGAAGAGAAAGGGAAAAAAAAAAGACACCCCACAGAGAGGGGGGGAGGAGGTTAGATGGGGCAGTCTTAGCACAGGCTCTAAAGACACACAGAGACAGAGATAGAGAGGGAGAGAGCGGGGGAGAGAGAGAGAGAGAGACAGGCACAGAGACCAAAACAGAAGCAGCAAACAGCAAAAACGAAGCAGAATCAATGCAAGTTAGAGAAAAAAAACAAAACCAATCATCATAGCAGGGAAGAGCCACTTATTCCGTGGCCGACCTGTGTATTAGTTTAACCAGAAATAAGCGCCAAGAGTTAACGAGCAGCTCCACAGCCCTGGAGGATGATGCTCATGCCCTGTGCCACTTGTCTCTGGGTCAGGAGAACCCCACGCCCAATAAGTACCCAGAACTGGGTCCCCTGGTCCTCCTCACTCCTCCTTCCCTGCCAACTTGAGGAGCATAGGAGCAAACAAGACAAAATGACTCTGGGATGACAACTTCCAGAAGGTACTTTCTCCTTTTCTCAATGCCAGTCTGAGATCCACTGATAACGGCTCAGTCCAAACGGCCCACACCCTGCCACCCCATGGGGAGAGGCAACAGCAGGCCTGCTGGAGATGAGGCTGCTGCAGCAAGGGCCAGCCAAAAAGGACGTCATGGTGTCCCCAGGGAGGTCCCGACTGTCCCGCCAGCACACCTGGCTCCAGCAGGGCCTTACTGCTCTTTCCAACCAGGGCTTAAGCCTTAGCAGCTCTGCCAAGGCCCAGCAGGCAGCTCGGCAGTAACCTTCTGTGTCTCCCAACACTTGGTGGGAGGAAAACACTATGAACACATCACAACAAGAGGAAGACAGAGAAAAGGGGAATAGAACATTTGAGATTTAGGTGCTTATTTCTGGAAAAACTAAGACCACCCTACCATCCTTCTACAGGATAGGGCAGAACCCCCTTAATAAACAAACCATCCCCTCTCCCCAGCCCAGCCCCGTCTCTGTCGTCTAACCAAGTCTCCTTGGTCTCTGTTAAGGGCCAGCCTGACCCCTAGCCGGGCTACTCTTGGTGGGTAAGTTAGTGAGAAAACAAAACAAAACAAAACAAAAAAACAAAAGGAAAAAAAAAGAAAGAAAGAAAGAATGAAAGAAAAAAAAAAAAACTTAATTAAAACAGGAAAAAACACGAATCAAATAAATCAACCCAATAAGGAAATGAGAAAAATAAAGGGGAAAAAAGATTAAACTAAAAAGAAGAAAACAAAGAAGAAAATAAACTAGGAATATGACAAATGTTCCAGGTACCATCTCACACCTGGGATCTTCAGTTCAGCCAATCGCACCTCACTGTGTACTGTATCTAGTCAACCGCCGGTCCAATCAGAATGAGCCCTCCCTGCTAGGCGCTGTGCAATTGGTGGGGGGTTGGGTTGGCAAAAAAGGTGGGCGCACGGCGTGGTAGTCAGCACGGCACTGCCAGAGTCCTCCCAGGGGCGCAGGGGGGTGGGAGGGAAACGTGTGGGGGGACACTGCCCAGTTTCCATGATGTCAAGACAGTTCACTGGCGGTGGCCAAGCTCAGCGAGGGGTAGAGGGGAAAAGGGGGCAGACACATCAGTCCTGGCCCTGGAGGGGCATCATCTTGCAGTCCCTGATGAGATGGCCCGTGAGGAGCAGGTACGGGCCTTGCCATCCATCGTGAGGGGCAGGCAGACAAGACCCTCTGTCCACCAGCGGCAAGTTGCGGCGACACCACCACCCAGCACTGGGCGTCCAGGTGAGGAGTCCAGAGTCCCTTTCTCCTCCGCCTGTATCTGGGGAGGGGTCCTCGCACCGAGGGGCATCACGGAGCCTTGCAGAAAGGTGGTCTGGGGTAGCAGGTGCACATCCCCAGGGCCTGGCACATGTTCGGCGGCAAGGTCAAGGCACTTGTCTTCTCCGAGCTGGGGGTGGCATCTCCTCAGGGACTCCGTCTGAGACAGCGGTTCCTGGCAGGTGGATGAGTGAGGCCCTGCCTCCGGGGATGGAGAAGTTGGAGCAACCAATAAGCTGCCCTTCACCGTGGATGGAAGGGACCAAAGGAAAGTCCATCTGATGAGCAAGTGGTGACATGGGCTGGGTTGCCACCAGCATTAAATCCCTGGGGCAGAGACCTTACACTCCTCTGCAGGGTTCCTAGTCGTCACACCTGAAGCCGAGGGCCCCATTCAGCATTTCACAGCACAGCACTGTGATGTGCAAACATTGACTCTTTAGGTGGCTTCAGTGCCCTAGACGGGGGTCCCAACAGTCTGTAGCAGACAAGGCCACCTACAGTCCTTGGAAGGCAAGGGCACGAGGGCAGGCACCCCAGCACTGCACAAGCTCTTCTTGGGGTGTCCCAAGTAGGGAGATGATACAAGTCCACCCCTTTCCAAATGCTTTTTGCTTTCTTAATACAAGTCTTTCCAGAACAGTGCTCTTCTTGGCCCCCTGATGTAAGCAAGACAGGGAGGCAAAAGAGGGCCGGCCCATCACAGGAGCCATATGCATGCCCCCCTCTGGCCAAGACACCTGGGTAGCAGACTCGGCTCTGACTGGGCAGCTCAGTAGCAGCGGGTGGGTCCAGAGGAAGAGGCGGCATCAGCGATTGGCCAGTTGGGCAGGGTTATATTTTACGGGCGGATTACCGTACATGAGGTGCTTGGACAAAGTTTTACGGGGAAGAAGGACCTTGTAATAAATAATATTCTGCACATCAAATCACTTTCACCGGCCCCCGCCCCCGCAACACACATCAGAGAAAGGCTACACACACAACAGTCCCTCCCACCCTGTTACCCACTCCCAAACCCAGCTAATCCCTTCTCTAAGACCTTGAAGAGCCAAGAAGACTTCGCTGGCTCTGATGCAGGGAGCCCCCTGAATTGGGTGCAGGATATAAGACAATTATATGCCTAAAAAGGAGGTACAGAGGTCACAGAGATCTCCTGGATCAACCCGAGCACTGGCTTCTAAGTGGCTCCATCTCTGAAATGAGACCACTGGGGGGCAGGTAAGAACAGAAATTCCTAAGCATGGCTGGCCCACTAGATGGCGCTGAGCCCCACCAGGCTTGTAAAAAGGAGGGAAAGCCAAAGGAGTTACCAGGGAAAAGCTGGAGCCTGATTCCTAGATAAGCAGCCAGACTTTCCAGTGGGCTACACACTCTTAGGGACCTGGACTAATACTTCCCCAACAGGTAAAGGAGGACAAATGAGTCCTGTCCCCATCCCAAGGGGCCTCCCTTGCTAACCAGCGAATTCTCCCTTGGCCCCGTCCTGATCCAAGGCCCTGCCTCAGCCCTCCTCTAAGTCATCCCACTGTGCAAGAGGGATCACCAGTGTGGTCTACTACCCTCTCCCCTAGGTCCACTCCTGCCCACCCACCCCACCAGGCGGCTTGGATATTTACCTCTTTCTTCTCCTCATCATCAGCATTGCCCTCTGGACGGTCATCATTACTGACTTGGTCTGCCATAGGCATAGGAGGCTCTGGAACCTCATTCTCAGGTCTGCTTTCACTCGTGTCCATGGTCACTTCCTCCTTCTCCTCACTGACAGGATGGGGGTTGGGGAAGGCCGAGAGGGAAGGGCAGGAAAGAACCGAGGGGGAAGAGAGAACAAGACATTAGCTAGTGGCACAGGAAGGCCTCGCAGCCCTTCACTGCAGTGGGATTGGGAAGGGGGGTAGTGGGGCTGCTTGTTAGATCACTCCAAAGACCTGTTCCATGGGAAGAAGTGGGGAACCATTTTCTTGGGGAAAAAGCACGGATTTATAGCAACCATGTCCACCCAATACCCAGACAAGATAAAGCTGGTACGTGTGGGGTCAGCACAACTATTCTTGGGTCTTTAACTCACCAGAAAGCAGAAAGACCCTCCTCTGAAAAAAGTCCCTCCAAAACAACTTGATTGGACCACAGCCCTGTGGCTCCCTGTGCCCTGGCCACAGGCATTTACACTTAGCAGAACAACATGCAAAACTAAGGGAAGCTTGGATTCTTTAAAAAGGTAAGAACATGGCTGTGGCTAATGATCCCAATGTTGTGTTTAATCAACTGCTTAGTCAGTAAATGCCTGTGGACCCACTTGATCTAAAGACACTGGGAATGAAGAGAATGGTAGGTGGGGATGTGGGGAAGTAGGGCTCCAATAAGTAACCTCTCATTCAAAAGGAGAGGTATAACTGGATGGTAGGAATGCGTGGAGGGGCAGCAGGCTCCCTTCACCTGCGCAGGACTGTAGGAACTGTTCTGAGACTCAGCTGATGCCTAGTCTCTCCCACTTTCTCCTTCCACCTTCCAAGAGCTAGAGGCAAGCCTCACAGGCAGGGCTCCCCTCCCCTAGTTCCACACAGACTGCCCCCCAACATTGGACCCACTCCCCCAAGTTCAATCAACAAAGTTAAGCATTTCAGGCAAAGAATCCCAGAGATGCGCTTCAGATAAGCTATCTTCCAGCCTAACCTATCTCCAACTTCTCTTATTGCACCCCCCTCTACTGCCACCTAAACACTGGGTTAAAAAAAAAAAAAAAAAGAATCACACCAAGATCATCACTGAGGCTCCTAAGGAGAGGGAGAAACCAAGTCGCTGTTCCCCCCCCCCCCCCGTCCCCACAGAAAATTCAACACTCCCACCAGGATGCCCGACAGAGGTCAGAACAGCGTCCCTGGAGCAGCCAGCGCGAGGATGCACGGGTCTGGGGGAGAAGGGAGAATCGAAACTATGCCCCCAGCTAAAAGGCCCCCACGCGACTCAACTGCTTCCATCTAGAGAAAAGGCTGATCAGAAAAATGCCCACTTCCCACACAGAGAGGGCATGTGGGGCCAATTAGAAACGGGGCAGGAAGGACAAAGGGGAAAAGCAGAATGACTGAAAACAATCAAAACCAAAGGAGCTGCGGGGAAGAGGAGGGAGCCGAGGTGAGCCAGCGCGGCGAGCAGACGGAAACATGGAAATGTGGAGCTCTCACCCTTCTTTGCTTTCTGATAACATGATTTTTTTTTCTCCCCCTGGAAGTGCTGTTTATCCCTTTCTGGAATGGAAGAAATAACAAAAACCAAACAAAAAATCCTAAAAATTGAAAAACAAAAAAACCTTCCTTGTCCCAAGATCCCACCACCTCCTCCCCGGCCACCCGATCCAGAGAAAACCGAGATGCAGCAACTGGGGATCCAAAAAAATGGTAAATGGAAGGGAGGCGGTGGTGGTGCGGGGAGGCTAAAATAGATCTGGCTCGTAAGAGATAAGCGTTAAGTCCTCACGGCAAACCCCGAGTTCGGCTGGATTGGTCTCTGGAGAAGGAGAAGGAAGAGGGCCAGGCTGCTGGTAGTGGCTGGCTCTATTGTATTGGCGGAGCGGCAGCGATCAGCCGGAGACATGCAGGGGAGCCATCTTGCCACTTACCCAGCAGCCTGTGTGTGCGGATGGGGGAGGGCCCTGCTGCAGCAGGGGAGGGGAAAAGAAAAGAGGGAGGGAGCTGAGCGAGCAAGGTTCTTATCCCCGGGCAGGCCACGGGGCCGGCGGTCGGCTCCAGGGGCCTGCCCTTTTTCCTCCTTTTCTCAGGTTACAACAGCTCCCGGGGCCTAGCCCCAAGGGGCGCCAGCACTCCTCCCAAGAGGCGGGGCGGGGCCGGAAGGAGAGGACAAAGTTACAGCTGCCGGATTGGAAGACTCCAAAGAGCTGAAGGGAAGGAAACTGCCGAGCTGGGAGTGAAAAATGACTAAAGAAAAAAGATAATGCCCAAGTTGAAGAAGGGATAAAAAGATAACTAAAGCCTCCGTTCCTCACACGGAACGGAGGGAGGGGTACGAGCAACACCAGGTGAAGACAGGTACCGGAACACTGGAACCATCTCGGCCAGTCATTGGCTCGAGGTGAGGCGGTGGGATGGGAGCCAGCCGCTAACTCATCACTGTAGGGACCGGCGCTCACCCCAAGCAGTAAGCGCGTGCTGCTACTCAAACCTTGCTGCTTCCCAGGGATGGAGGAGGGAGGCGGACAAGCAGGTAAGAACTGGTTTCAAACTACCAGTAGGAGGGGGAGGGACCCCTTCCTTAAGAGATGACAACTTTGTTTCAGAGGCTCTGGGGGCTTCTGGAGCCCCAGGGACAAAGATGAACAGGGCGAGGGGACCCTGCGTAGCTGAAGCTCCCCAGCTGGTTCTTGGAGCAAAGATTTCAGGGTGAGAGCTCTGGAATGACACTGGAAGTGAAAGGCCAGGGTGGGGAATGCCTGCACCACTGGGGACAGAAAGTGATCAGAAACTAAGCAGAAAATACCAACTGTATTTCCCCAATCAAGGTTAAGCGGGAAGCAGACCCTAACAAATGGCTTAGGCACTCAGCACACTCCAGACGCATACTTGTGACCACAAAGGCGTGCTTTTCTACACTAGTAGCACAGGATTGACCACTGAGGCAAGTTTCCAAAACCTTAACCCGAAGCTCAGTTATCTCGTTTTCAACATCACAGCTTTTGGCCTAGAAGGAATGGTTCTTCTTGCTGCTTACAATCTGAAATGCATATGGTCACTGTGTGCCAAAGTGGTCATGTTTTTATGTTACTTTCAAAGTCCTTTTCATGCAGTGAATGGCTAAGGCCCAATCCTGGCCCTGGGGTCTGGCTCCACACTTTTAGCTGCGTGACAGCTCTTAAGCTGCTCTGCATTATCTGCTTCTTAATGTGAAAAGTGGGGATAATAACATTAGCCATCTCCTGGACAGGGTGACCAAGGGTTAGCTCCTCCGTGTCTGGCTTGGTTAGGATCCAAGTCCAAAGAGCTGCACCAAACACAGGTGTGTCCCACAGGCCACTGTCTTACTTGATGCCACCTCCTGAGGGCTTGGGACTCCTCAGAGAACAGTGCCCTTTAGCTGATGCAAACTAATCCAGGGACTCGCATGCCAGGGCTCCGCAATGCCTTACCACCACGTGTGAGGACATCGTGCTTGCTTGCCCCGCACCTTCACCTTACAGTATTACTCAAACACCACACTCTTTGGCCTTCAGCTCAAGAAATATCACAAAGAAGTGCTCTGTAAATATTTGAGGATGTCACTGCAGGTGCCTAGTGGACACGAAATAGAAGCTCCTTAGGCTAAATTAAAAAAAAAAATTAGGATAAGATTACCCCTCAGAAAATGTTATCTAAGCATCCTCAAACAAATGTGTCTTGTTTGTTCATTGTCCTAAAATACTTTTGGCTGCTAAAATGCCTCCCTCGTGCTTCTGTGGTGGGAGAATTCTGTTACTAGAAGTTCTATTTCCCTTGTCTGAGAAGACTTTTACCACATTCTCCTTGGCCTTTGGAAGTCCCAGGAAGTCTGTTCCTTTACTGCCCCAGAATGGATTCTGAGGGTTCAAGAAGCTCAGAATCTTTCTTTTCAGAAGCTACTAAGGAGTCTGAAAATCATCCCTGAAGCAGCATTCTACTTGTTAGGTATGTGTCCGAGTCCTCCCAGAGCTTTCATTTGAGATCCTTTTTCGACAAAGTCATCTCCCCCAGCATTTTGCTTGTTTAAGTTCCTGAAATCTTTGAAAACTGTTTGAGGAATGGAGGTAGTGGCTGCTATCCCATCATTAAACAGTGCACATGCGCACGCACACACACAAAGAGCATTTGTGATCAAGAAAAGGATAGAACCACACAGAGGCCAATAACATCACACTGCAGGTTATACACAACTGTGAATGTGAATCAGAGAAACTGACAGAAAAGGAACTCCCCCAGGCAGAGTGGTGTATGTTTAGTTTGCAGTTAGTACAGGAAATCTGTAAGGTGCTGGGTCCTTGCTGTGAGAAGTGAGGAAGATAGAGGGAATAGGCACCCCCAGGAGCTTACTAGTCCCCATGTGACCCAAGACAGTCTGAGTCAGGGGGACATCCTTGGACACCCAAAGAGCAAAAACTACAGATGACGGTAAACTCTTTTTTTCTTAAGTTATGCATCATTTGGGACACTAGCAATGTAGGTCTACGAAGGAGTATGTGACACTGTCATGTCAGCTTAGAGAAGCATTTCTTTCTTCCTACAACAGGCCAGAGGACAGGCAGACAGAGTACCAACAGTAAAGGTGCTGATCTGTTGGGTCTGGGTGCACAGCAAGGTTTTATTTAGACTCTTGCAGGTTTGAATTAACCACTGCCGAATGACACATCTGTCCATATAAATAACGTCAGCTTTCTTTCCGCCCCCTCTTTTTTGTTTCAGAAAGCAGAATATTTTCATTTTCTGTGATATGAGGACACTTATGGCAGTGAACACTAGATTTACAAAAAGGGCTCGACTGAAAACAGGACTAAGGGGCCACAGATTCCTATGCCAAACAATAAAATATGCCTTACCTTTCATAAACTCAGAATTCCTCAGGCACAATCAAAATCATAACAGATTTAACCAAGCACAGAAAAACGTCAGGCAATCTCTTCAAGTGGTGAGAGGTCCTTCAGGTGAAGTCTAACTATTTTTAAGACTTTATTGCCCCTCTGCCCTGCCTTTTTAAAACATGTGACGTCATGTTGAGACTTTCAAACTAAGGTTAAGCTACAAGCGGTATTTTCCAATTAGCACTGTTGACCCCACTTTTAAAACTGGCCAGGGACCTAACCGGCTGCCAGGCTGAACACCAACACACTGGAGGCAGACCGGCCAGAGAGAGTGTGGTGCATCAGTTGCAGCAGGGCCTCCTGAGGTGCAGATATACTTCCTAAAGATTCATTTACCTAATCCACTGCCAAAGCAATCCAGAGTTTAGGCCCTGGGCATGTTTTTTGGTCAGGGTATCAAAGAGACATCTGGCGATCAGGCAGAAGGAAAGCAGTTAAGAGAGATATGTGTAATCTATTCCTGAACGTCAACTCCATTTTTAATCTATAGGGTGCTTCAGTGTTGCCTGGGCAACAAGGGGCCTCTTGGTATTTGCCCGTTGTACCACTTTGCCCATCACCATGTCAGAATCATGTGACCAGATTATCCCAGTCATAAAATGAAGATGAAAGCCACATTTACCTGGGGAGGAAAACTCTCAATATAATTCCAAGCTTCATTCATCCTGGACTTGTACGGAAAAGTCCAGAAGTTAGAGTGCTTCACAACAACAAAAATACCTTTCTGTCGTTATGATTCAAGGACTCCTAGACTTTTAAAGCTGGCAATGAGCTTTTCGGAAAACTGCTTGCTTCTCCAGGTGCAAAGAAGGCAGTTCCTTGGGCCATTTAGTAGAGACTGTCAATAACACTGAAGCTGCCAGCAGACGAAAGTACCCACACAGGACAGTGGTGGCGGGGTTGGGAGAAGGGGAGGTAATAGGCCTGGCTGAAGGACATGGAAGGGAAGATGTCACACCATTTCCTCATCGATGGTGTAGCTGGGGAATCCGCTGAGTTCTCACTTTATGATCCTAGAAGAAAAACCCTTTCCAAAGGATAATGGACCCATCCCAAAAGGAAAAAACTTTTCCAAGGAAGTGAACTTTTGGATTTCAAACCAAAAATGTAATGGCCACAAGATGGCAGCAGAGACAAGCATATTAGAATGAACAGTTTGGGATGGAGATCCCTGGGCAAAAGCTATATACATCAAGGAGCAGAAAATTACTGAAGTCACAAAGCAATGAGTTAATAAGTCATGTCAGCTGCCCACCGCCCCCCGCCTCTCCTGCAAACCAGAGTTAAAAGACTGGCAGAAATTCTTAGAAAAGTATAAATTATAAAACTATTCCATATAGGGGAAAATGTAGTCTTGGTGTTAAGATGACCTGAAAACAAGGATGGAACTATTACAGGCCAGCTGTCCACAGAGGACATTCTCTAGAGCAGCTCGAGATGCCGATGTCCAAGAGCCAAGCAATCTCACATTCATAATACTTCACATTTGCAGTTCCCATGAGACTCTGAAGGCAGGAATTTTTGCAATGGTTTTTTTTTTAGAACACAGTTCAAAATAATAAGCAGCATAATCATTTAATTACAAGTTGAATCTAACGTAGCTTTTTGTAAGACTTACGGATTTAAAAAATCTGTATTAATTATATAAAAGATAAGTTTAATCACAGATCAACCAAAAGGATTTCAGATTTTGCTGTGCTGTACACTATATGTAAGAGTTAAGTTGGTCAGACTGTAGTGTTCTTTAAAGACCCTCAATATGTAGGAAAACGTGCTCCTGGCTCCAATGGTGCTGGTCAATGTGAGGTGAGGATTGAGTCCGGAGACCTGGAGTCAGCTCCTTACTCTGCCAGGGAGCTACTGTGGCTAGAGGATTCCAGTGTGTTTTCCTCACTTCTCAGACACACTACCTTGAAAGAGTTCTGGGGATAGGTCCTGGTACAATAACCAGGTATGGTTTTTGTCCAAGTAAAACTCTGTATTCCTGTTGTAAACACAACAGGACTGTCTAGAGAGCATAGGGACCCTAAGGAGCAGTCTCCCCGACTTATTGTTCCTGTTACACCCCAGTGGAGACGGATCACTTACCCAGTGTGACGAATCCTTCCCGATCCTGGCAGGCGAGAGGGCTGGGTTTCAGAGGTCTGGGGCTGTGTGGCAGCTGGTGGCTCTGCCTCTTCAGCTTCACACTTCTTTGGGCTCCCCTGTCAGGTAACAGCAAACACAGATAGCAAAGCACTTAAATCTGCTTAATTCCTTTGCTTCAATCTGCAGCTGGACAACGGCAGGACAAGCTGTACATAGTACCAGCTGCCAGCTCCATGTGTAGCCCCTCTGCATCTGCCTGTTTTAGAACATGGGATGGAATACGGCTTAAAGATGCATATTTGAAGAAGCTCCAGGACAGTGATCTATTAGAATTCTTTTTTGAGAGAACTGAAAAAAGGAGTTAGGCAGACAAAAAGTGTGCTGAGGAAAAACCAACGCAGAGTACCCTGCTGTTTTGCCCCGGGCACAACTTTCCTGACCCAGAGAGCCTACGTGAGGCAAACAGCACTCCCAGTACTCCTCCACCTCCCTCCAGAGAGGGTCCTAGGAGCCTACCCGCTCCGGCTGTAACCTCTGGGTCATGTGCTTTTCCACTGGCTCAGGCTGGCTCCGATGCCTCACTGGGGTGGACGATGAGGAGGGGGACATCCTGTCCTTTGGCTCAAGGACTTGTGGTTGCGGCAAGGGTGGAGCTGCATTCTCCTGGCCAGAAGGCGGATCTTTGGTTTCCACGAAGCTGGTGCTGCTATCCCTCGAGACGCCAGGGCTCAGGGACTGAAGAATGAAACACACACGAAGGAAAATTATGTGGTATATATTCAGCAGATCACTGGGTTTTCCAACTGCTGCTGACCCCTATATACTACTCTGGATCTTTGTGGCCCCATGTTCCTTCCTGAGCTCCTGTTCTCCCTTGCCTGTTTCTTAGGTTCCATCCATATGCTAGGCACCAGAATACACACAGAAAGACATGCTATATCCTACAGAAGTTTCCATCTAGGGAAGAAGGGTCATGGGTCTCAACATGCTGTCTCTGGACTCAAAGGGACCCACTGAGAATGAAAACCAGCCCCATTTATCATCAATGAACTGAACACTAGATTCTGAAGTCAGGAGAAAGTTTGTCCTGTACCTGTCAGGGATCACAACAGTCCTCCTGGGGAGAGGAGACACTGGCACACACAGAAAGAACATCAACGCATCCAGGTTCTCATACTCACTTTTCTGCTGTTGCTTGATGCTGACCGGGAGCGGGAACGGGAGCGGGACTCTGACGTGGATCTGGAGCCCATCTTGGGGCTACCACGAGGGTTGGTGTGAGCATGTGCCTGGGACCCATCTCTCTGCTTGGATCTTGGAGGTGAGTGAGATGGAGAGCCTGAACTGTCAGGAGAGCGAGATCTGGACCTAGAACTGGAGGATGAAGATGATGACGACCGGCTGGAGGATGAATCAGTTGACTGTTGCAATCTGCAACCCAGAAGAGGATGCGAAGCCCTCCTGCCTTCCTTCTGTTCCAAAGATTGCTCAGAGATCCCTTTGGGCAGTGCTAACTCCTGGATTTTTAGAGGGAGTGGCTGAGCAGATTTTTCTGACTCAGTCTCAAGAACCTTCTGGGCTGAGTATGGAGTTGGTGTGCTTTTCTGAGCTGGAGGCAGGACACTCTCCTTGGGCACTTGCTCTGCAGGAGATTCTGCTTTGGTGTCTGCAGGACTTGATGAAGGAGAGAGGCTTCCCACCAATCGGACAGGACGCTGAGATGTTAACAGCTCCCTGTTCTCAGCATCCTTCTTAAGAGGCGACAACTGCATGAGGACAGGGGGTGCCGGGCCTTCCATGGGCTCAGCCTCTTCTTCACTCTGGAGTTGAGTGGGAGGTGGCGAAGCTGCTTCCTTGGTGAGTAAAGGTGGTGGCGTCTCCTCCTCACTGACCGTTAGCCCTGGTGGTAGCACAGGAGGCGCCTTCTCCAGATCTTCAGTCAGGCGAGGAGGGGAAGGCGATTTCGATTTTGCCTCCAAGCCCTGTAAAGGTTTTATTTCTCTTTCTTCCTCAAGGGGAGAAGTCGTTCTCTGCTCTCTTTCCTGCTGCTGTCGTGCTAGATGACTTCTTCTGGCCTCATCCTGGGATCTGGTAACCCGGCCACCTCTCTCTACAGCCCCTTGCTCATGGGACATGATGGGTTTGGATCTCTCATCCACTACCTCCTCTGGCTTGGCAATGGGCATCTCTTCGCCCTCTTCTTCCTTGAACTGTTTTAAGACTGGTGCTTCCCTAGATTTTTGTCCTTCTGCATTTTCTTCCTCTTCATCATCTTCCTCCACCTCCTCCTCCTCTTCTTCCTCCTCTGTTTTCAAATTTCGATCTGTTCTAACCCTCAGATTTCTAGAAGGCGCTTCCTGATCTTCTTCCTCCTCAGCAGCCTGGCTGCATTCTTTTGCAGCTCTTGCCTAGAAGGAAAGATAGATAATGGTCCAAATCTATCCACAACTGGCAGAAGAGAAAAAGGTGGCTGGCAAGGTGGCATAGCAGTCCTGATCCATGTTGCCAGCATCCTATATGAGTGCCAGTCCATGTGCCAGCTCCCAGTTACTGGCATGGGAAAGCAGTGGAAAACAACCAAGTCCTGCTTCCCTGCACCAATGCAAGAACTGGAAAAACCTCGTGGCCCCAGCTTTGGACCAGTTTAGCTATGGCTACTGTGGCCATTTGGGAGAGTAAACCAGTAGATGAAACATCTCTCTCTGGTCTCCCTTCCTGTAACTCTGCCTTTCAAATAAATAAATAAAATCTTTCAAGGAAAAAAAAAAAAAGAGAAGAGAAGATGTGACTCTGTCAACCTGTCTTTCAGGTAAAATAAATAAAACTTTAAAAAAAGAAAAATAAAACAATATCTCAATGAAAGATACCCCTAAGGAAGTCAATGATAACTTTTTCCACAAGAGATATGTGGCAGTACATAATGACTAATATGTAACTAAAGCTTTCAAATAAGGAAATCTTAAAAGAAAGCAGCCTACTAACTTTCATATATATGTATTTTTTAATTTATATATTTTAAACATTTATTTATTCTTAAATATTTATTTTTTTATTTTTATTATTGGAAAGTCAGATATACAGAGAGGAAGAGAAAGACAGAGGGAGATCATCTGTCCAATAATTCTCCAAGTGACTGCAAGAGCTGGAGCTGAGTCGATCTGAAGCCAGGAGCCAGAGGCCTCCTCTGGGTCTAACACGTAGGTGCAGGGTCCCAAGGCTTTGGGCTATCCTCAACTGTTTTTTCAGACCAAAAACAGGGAGCTGGATGGGAAGCAGGGCCACAGGGACACGAAGTGGCGACCATATGGGATCCCAGTGCATTCAAATTGAGGACTTTAATTGCTAGGTTGCCGCGCTGGGCCCTAAAAATGTATTTATTAGGATTTATTTATTTTTATTGGAGAGTCAGATATACAGAGAGAAGTTCCATCCACTGGTTCACTCCCCAAGTGGCCAGAACAGCTCGCTGAAGCTGAGCCAATCCGAAGCCAGGAGCTTCTTCTGGGTTAAACATGTAGATGCAGGGTCCGAAGGCTTTGGGCCATCTTTGATTGTTTTCCCAGGCCACAAACAAGGGGCTGGATGGGAAGTGAAGTCTCCAGGATAAAAACCAGCACCCATATGACATCCCAGTGCTTGGTGAGGACTTTAGGCACCAGGCTACTGTGCCAGGGCCCAATCTTTTTTCATTTTTATTGGAAAGGCAGGTATACAGAGAGAAGATAAGAGAGAAGATCGCTGGTTCATTCCCCAAGTGGCTGCAATGGCCGGATCTAGGCCGATATAAAACCAGGAACCAGGAGCTTCCTCCAGGTCTCCCACGTGTGTGCAGGGTCCCAAGGCTATGGACTATCTTCCTCTGCTTTCCCAGGCCATAAGTAGGGAGCTGAAGAGAAGTGAAGCAGCAGGGATATGAACTGCCATTGATAGAGGATCCATGCACATGCAAGGTTAGGATATAACCACTGAGCCAGGCACATTTTTGAATTTTTAAAAAAGATTTATTTATTTTTATTGGAAAGGCAGATATAGAGAGAGGAGAGACAGAGAGGAAGATCTTCCATCCAATGATCCACTCCTCAAGTGACCACAGAGGCTGGTACTGTGCTGATCTGAAGCCAGGAGCCTCTTGCAGGTCTCCCATGTGGGTGCAGGGTCCCAAGGCCTTGGGCCATCCTGGACTGCTTGGCCAGGCCACAAACAGGGAGCTGGATGGGAAGTGGGGCCGCTGGGATTAGAACTGGCGCCCATTTGGGATCCTGGCACATGCAAGGCAAGGACTTTAACCACCATGCCATCGCACCAGGCCCCATTTTTGGATATTTTTAAAGAAATAAAAATCCAGGGGCCTGGCACCATGGCCTAGCAGCTAAAGTTCTCGCCTTGAAAGCACCAGGATCCTATATGGGCACCAGATCTAATCCCAGCAGCTCCACTTCTGATCCAGCTCCCTGCTTGTGGCCTGGGAAAGCAGTCGAGGATGGCCCAAAGCTTTGGGACCCTGCACCCACATGGGATAACCGGAAGAGGTTCCTGGATCCTGGCTTTGGATCAGCATAGCATTGGCCGATGTGCTCACTTGGGGAGTGAATCACTGGACGGAAGATATTTCTCTCTGTTTCTCTCTGTCTCCCCTCCTCTCTATATATTTTTCTGACTGTGCAATAAAAATAAATAAATCCTAAAAATCAGAGCCTGCCTTGGTAGCCTAGTCTTGAGAGTTACTGGGAGTCGCTTGCACTGATTTATGTGGCCAAGTGTCTGGTGAGCAGGATTGAGATGGGTTCCAACACCCACTGGTTTGTGTAGAAGACAGGGCTCGAGGCAGAACTGACCCAGCAATCACAACCACCAGCACATGCATAGGCTGACAGGGGTTACAGTCTGTGCCAGACCCTGTACTGCCAAGAATTTGGTCTGGATTACTTCAGATGAAGTTTCTTTGTGGATCCCCCCAATTGAACTGCTGGACTCAGAACCCCAACCATGAACAGAATTGTAGATTCCAAGGTCTGACCATGGAGTCCATGTATCAAAGCTGAGCCTCCTCAGTGTCACAGATGGAGCAGTGGACAGCATATCCAGGTGCACATGGAGAATATGGCAGTACATTGGAGCCTGCAGAGGACACCTGGTACCACAACAGAGGACAGAAGGAATCGATCAACTAGCCCAGCCAAGGGTAGGCAATGAAAATTTGAGCAAGTGGAGATGCTAAGGTGGACTATGTCAGCCAGTAGATTCTGAAGACATTTCATCATGCATGAAATGGCAAGATCGGCAGCAATTAGGAACAGTTGAATTATCGAAACCACTGGAGCAGTGCCCTCGGAGCATGCCTCACATTGGAGACCCTGGGATGGGTGGGAGGATGGATGTGGCTTTTCCCTTTTCTTCTCCCCTTTCCAAAGATACAGGAAGGAAAAAAGGGAATGTGGAAACAATGGTAGCCCTTGACGCTTTGAACCATAACAAACTATGTAAAGATCACCAAAATTAAATTTTTTTTAAAAAAAAACAAAGAAATTGGGCCTGGCACGATAGTTTAACGGTTAAGGTCCTCGCCTTGAACATATCGGGATCCCATATGGGCGCCAGTTCTAATCCTGGAAGCCTTGTTTCCCATCCAGCTTCCTGCTTGTGGCCTGGGAAAGCAGTTGAGGATGGCCCAAACCCTAGGACCCTACACCTGTGTAGGAGACCTGGAAGAAGCTCCTATCTCCTGGCTCTGGATTGGCTCAGCTCTGGCTGTTGCAGCCGTGTAGTGAGAGAATCAGCAGATGAAAGATCTTTTTCTTTGTCTCTCCTCTTTGCTGTAAATCTGATTTTGTAAGAAAAATAAATCCTAAAAATAAATAAATAAAGCTACTTATAAATGTGGGGGTCAAAGTAACTAAATAAAAAACAAACAAACAAAAACAAATACCATGAAAAATATGAGACATAAAATGACTTAGTGATCTAGAGTCCATTTCTAGAAGTGTGAGGAAGAAAGGGAGGAGTTGGCTAACAGGCCCCTAGAGGCGAGCCTGGCTGCTTCTGGAGTCACCTGTCTCACGCGGGAGGAGCGCCTTTCCCCTTTCCTCGGCTTCTCGTCATCAGAGTCACCTTTCTCTTCAGAAACAGAGGAGCCTTTTCCTAGTAAATGAAAGGAAATCAAGTCAGGCTCATGATAGCAGCATTCATTCACAGTTCTCTAAAGTCATAGTTCCCAAAATCAAATAATCCCTGCAGGAGCTGGTCAGGACAGATCTTTAATTTCTTTCCCTCTGTGCTCAAGACAAGATTTTCTATATTCATACATCCAACGCCTTCAGGAACAGTGATAATTCCTGCTGTGCTTGTCTGGAATGTTTTCAAAACCTGTCTTATTCACATCAAACTCCAGTAAAAGTAAAATAACTTCCAAGGACCTTAAATTGTCTAGCAGAGATGTACAAACACAAGTTGGTACACTTCTATAAAGTCTTAATTAGTTTAAGATTTCATCATTTTTATGTCCTTTTTTAGATTGCCTATTGTTACTACTTGTGAGTTTTGACCAAACTTTTGCATCTAAATTTAATTTTTTTGAAAGATTTTTTTCATTGGAAAGGCAGATATAGAGAGAGGAAAAGAGACAGAGAGGAAGATCTTCTGTCCTGTGGTTCACTCCCCAAGTGCCCACAATGGCTGGTGCTGTGCCAATCTGAAGCCAGGATCTTGGAGCTCTTCCTGGTCACCCCCGCGGGTGCAGGGTCCCAAGGCTTTGTGCCATCCTTGACTGCTTTGCCAGGCCACAAGCAGGGAGCTGGATGGGAAGCAGGGCCGCCGGGATTAGAACTGGAGACCATATGGAATCCTGGTGTGTGCAAGGTGAGGACTTTAACCACCATGCTATTGCATTTTGCACCGGGCCCATATATTTAACTTGTACAATTACAAAGTCAAAAATAAGTAATTAGATGAGTGGTATTCAGGCACTGAAGTTCCCAGATCATTTTAAGCAACCCGGACAGGGATTCAAAACAGCTTTTTTTTTTTTCTTTTTAAAGATTTATTTATTTTTTTTTAATTGGAAAGTTAGATTTACAGAGAGAAGGAAAGAAAAAGATGTTCCACCTGCTGATGATTCATTCCCCAAATGGCTATAATGGCCGGAGCTGATCTAAAGCCAGGAGCCAGGAGTCTCCCTGGATTCTACTACATGGGTGCAGAGTTCTAAGGATATTTAAAATACTTTAAAATATTATGTTTATGAATTCCATATTTCACTGTTCTCCCAGGCCTTAAGCAGGGAGCTGGATCGAAAGTGGAACAGATGGGACAAGAATTGGGAACCCACATGGGATGCTGGTGCTTGGAGGTGGAGATCAGCCAGTTGAGCTATAGCTCTGGCTCCTGTCACTCTGCTTTTCAAATAACAAATAAATCTTAGTGCAAAAAAAAAAAAAAAAAAAAGTGCCGGGATCCCATACAGATGCCAGTTCTTATTCTAGCTGCTCCACTTCCCATCCAGCTCCCTGCTTGTGGCTTGGGAAAGCAGTTGAGGATGGTTCAAAGCCTTGAGACCCTGCATCCGCGTGGGAGACTCAGAAGAAGCTCCAGGTTCCTGGCTTTAGATCAGCTCTGGTTATTGTGGCCACTGGAGAGTAAACCAAAGGATGCAGATCTGTCTCTCCTTCTCTCTGTAAATCTGCCTTTCCAATAAAATAAATCTTTAAATAAATAAAAACAAAATGAAATAAAAATGAGTGCTATGGCACAGGAGGTTAAGCCTCTGTCTGAGGTGCCAGCATCCCATACTGGCACTGGTCTGAGTCCTGGTTGCTCCACTTCTGATCCAGCTCCCTGATAATATGCCTAAGAGAACAGTAAAAGATGGCCCAAGTGCTTGCGCCCTGCACCCATAAGGGAGACCTGGAGGCAGCTCCTGGCTTTGGTCTTGCCCAGTTCTGGCCACTGTGGCCACTTGGGGAGATCTGTCTTTTCCTTCTCTTAAATCTACCTTTCAATACACACACACACACACACACACAAAAGATACAAAAATACCTGGTTCCCTCAGTTTTCAGGCAGGACCGAGGAATTCATAAACATAATATTTTAAAGTTTTTCTCAGGTGTTACCAGCAATTAACAAAATGTTCTAAGAAATATTTTAATGAGACTCTTTTAAAGTGAGAATACAAAGGCTCTCAGGCTAACCAACCCCCAAACTGCTACTGTGATGGTTAACCAGCTCGGGTGACTAGCAGCTGAAGGACTCTGCCTTTCTGTCAGATGCCACGTGTTACCCATGATCTCATTACTGATAGAATCCCAACCACACTGCATCTGGGAACCTGAACAAACTCTCTATCACACTGATCACCAGATCACATCCCAGATGAGGTCAGAAGAAGGAATGTTTAAGAAGAGCACTTAAGGTAAACCTTGTTAGCTGTCCTCTATAATATCCTACACCCATGTTTTCTAATTTAGTTTGATTTTTGTTTAAGTATTTTTCCACCAGTAATTTCAATCTTGCATAGAATCTTGATGATGACAAATAATACTGAAGAAAACTAGCTACCCTCATTCTAAATTTTGGTTTTACAAATCGTTTTTTTGGGCCTGTCGTGGTAGCCTAGCAGCTAAAGTCCTTGCCTTGCATGCACCAGGATCCCAAATGGGCACCAGTTCTAATCCTAGAAGCTCCACTTCCTATACAGCTTCCTGCTTGTGGCCTGGGAAAGCAGTCAAGGACAGCCCAAAGCCTTGGGACCCTGCACCCACGTGGGAGACCTGGAAGAAGCTCCTGGCTTTGGATCGGCGCAGCACCAGCCATTGTAATCACTTAGGGAGTGAATCATAGGACAGAGGATCTTCCTCTCTGCCTCTCCTCCTCTCTGTATACCTGCCTTTCCAATAAAAATAAATGAATCTTAAACAAACAAACAAACAAAGCCTTAGTTTTTCTATTTCAGGATCCATTCCTCATTTTCTTTTCTTTTCTTTTTTATTTTTATTGTAAAGTGAGATATACAGAGAGGAGGAGAGAGAGAGACGAAGTGGAGCTGCCAGGGTAAGAACCGGCAACCATATGAGATCCTGGCTCATTCAAGGCGAGGACCTTAGCCACTAGGCCATGCCGCCAGGCCCCATTCCTCATTTTCAAATTACATTTAGAGCCAAGGCAGCCTCTTTCCAAAAATATTCCTCACCGATCATGGCCTCTATTAAGAATTTTAAATAGATCCCTGTCACTTTATTTAGTTTAAAGAAAAAATCTCATACTTACTGGCTCTCTAGCATTGCCCCATCTAACTTTTCATTTATTATTTATTTATTAAACTTTTTTTTTATATGTGAAAGCCAGAGTTACAGAGAGGGAAGGGAGGAGAAACAAAAACATCTTCCAGAGCTCGGCGCAGTGGCCTAGTGGCAAAAGTCCTCGCTTTAAACATGCCAGGATCCCATATGGACACCGGCTCTAATCCTGGCAGCCCCACTTCCCTGCCAGCTCCCTTCTTGTGGCCTGGGAAAGCAGTCAAGGACAGCTCAAAGCCTTGGGATCCTGCACCCACGTGGGACACTCGGAAGAAGCTACTGTCTTTGGATTGGTGCAGTGTCAACTGTTGTGTCCACTTGGGGAGTGAATCATCGGACGGAAGATCTTCCTCTCAGTCTCTCCTCCTGTCTTTATATCCGTCTTTCCAATAAAAACAAATTTTAAAAAATAAATCTTCCATCCACTGGTTCACTCCTCAAATGGCCCAACAGCCAGTGCTGAGCAGATGTGAAGCTGGGAACCAGAAACCCCTCTTGGTCACCATTGTGGTCGCAGGGTCCCAAGGACATGAGCCATCTTCCACTGCCTTTCCAGGAGCATTAGCAGGGATCTGGATGGGAAGTAGAGCAGCTTGTAATGCAAATTGGTGTCCTTAGGGCATCCCAATGTGCAAGTGAAGGATCAGTCTACTACACCACCACATCAGATCCTTTTCCTTTGTTTTTGAAGTGTATTAGTTTAATTTATTTGAAAGGTAATGCATAAACAGAATGAGAGAAACAGAATTCTATCTGCTGGTTCACTCCTCAAATCTACCACCTTTCCATATACCTTTTTAAAATTGTTTCTATGAGTATCTGAACATGACACACCTTACTCTAGCTAGATTAGTCTACTACCTCTCCTTTAAAAATATCAGATTCATGCTGGGTGTTATGGTACTGTGAGTTAAATCATTACTTGGGATTCCTTTGTATTCCATACCAGGGTAACAGTTTGAGCAAGTTCTGGCTGCTCTGCTTCTGACTCAGCTTCCTGTGAATGCATCCTGGGAAGCAGCAGAGGCTGCCTCAAGTGCCCTGGTGCCTGGCTTAGTCCTGGCCATTGCAGCCACTTGGGAATAAATCAGTGAATGAAAGATCTCTCTGGGTAACTCTGACCTTCAAGTAAATAAATTACACTTTAAACAATTATTTTTGACTGCCTTTTATTTGAGAAGAAATACTGACATTTTTCAGATGTGTTTTGCTACGGTGGGCATTTGGCTTAGCAGTTATGCCACTGCTTAGGACTTCCACATTCCACTCCACATCAGAGTGCCCGGTTTAAATCCCTGTTTTTCTGCCTCCAATTCAGCCTTCCTGCTAATGCAGTCCCTGGGGAAGCAGCAGGTATGGGTACCTGGGTCCCTGCCACCCATGCAGGAGACCTGGATTGAGTGCCTGGCCCCTGGCCTTGTCCTGGCTGTCACAGGCATCGCAGACATCACAGAAGATGGGAGATCTCGCTGCCATTCAAAACAAAAGTGCTTTTCTTTTCCTTCCATCTTTTTACAAGTAGCGAAAAAACACAGTGTTGAGGGTGAGGGTCTATTGCTCATATGTGAGAAGAGTGGTCCCAAAGGAACTTACTAATAATTCAACAGTTGGATACTATTAATTTACATTCTAAAAACACTGAACATGGAGAGGACCGTCTGCATTAACAATGATGACCCAAAATACGTATTAACTTACATACTAGCTTCCTTCATCTACCTGTTCACATGTGTCATATACATTTTAAGATACAGTCCTGAAAGTATACTGTCAGTATATCTTAGCTATCTTTACGGATTTCTACACTGCAAAATAAGACACTTATTTCTTATTCACTTTGCATGAACTAATGGTTTGAGTCCCTGTAACATGCTCGCCCATCAGTACCTCACCCCACAATGCCTTAGCATTTAGCACAACCATAAATAATGGTGTAATTAAGCATTATCTATTGCCTCACTGGACTGAAAGTTTCTCTGGACAGACTCATCTTTTTCTGATGTAGTCCTAGAGTCTAGTGCATGCTTGGTAAACAACATAGAAATTTGTTGAATGAATTACAAAATTACAGTCCCTGTTTTGCTCAATTCGGAAAAACAGTGGCATGTGCAACACACGATACATGCAACTAGTGAGGAGACAAAAGAGAGCGGTGACTTAAGTAAGTGTGAAGGCTGAAGACGTCAGGATGAGAAAGAACTATCCTGCTTCACCAGACACTGAGAAGTTAATACAACACGCAGGTGAAAGCGGATTTCAAAAAGGACAGAATTTCCATGAAACACAAATGGCATATACTGACGCCAGAGAATTTCCCTGGAATTTTCATGGTGGCTTGGCGTGAAAGGAGGCTTAACTACCTCCCCCCACCAACTACGCAGGACTGACCCAACAGCGCAGTGGGGAGGGAGATACGTACTGGACGTAGGGCTGGGCGAATGTCTGCTGAGTTCCAGCTCTGGTCTCTCCAGGCTGCTCTGAAAATCAGGAGGTAGCAGCGAAGCCACTCCCTCAGGATGGAGCATCTCGTCCTCCGACTCAGCTGAAGCTTCTGCAAAGCAGGGCGGGAGTGCAGGGCTCAGCGCATGGGGACACGCAGAGGGGCGAGGCACATCAGGAGATCACACACACACTCACTAAGGGGAGAGTTGCACACAAAGAAAAAACTCCCCAGGATTAAGCTCCACCTCATCTAACTGGCAGCTTCATTTACTCAAAATGTTTCCTGTTGGCAGGAATCCTCTAACAAGATGGTCAAATGAAGTGTCCTTTTTCCTGACAAAAGCAAACAGGAACTCAGCTGGCTCCAGAAACTAACAGCAAATAAGTGGCCATCAGACATTCCTGAAACTGCCTAATGAGGCTCCTTGACAAGGACAGGGACACACAGATGAAGCACCTGGCCTCTGAAGCGGCCACCCTGGGACTTACCTTCGAGCTCGGCGGCTTCCCGAGCTTCGCGTTCCAGACGCTGCCTCAGCAGCTCCTGCTGCTTTTCCAGATACTGCTTTATGAAACTGTTCTGGCTCATTTCTTCACCAATCTATGTAGAAGAAATGGAAAAGGGTCTAGGGAAAGAAACCAGCTACAGGAAAGTGTGAACATTCCACAGAACAAAGGCCTACACCTTCTAGCTGGACCCAAGAACAACACCCAACTGCTTTTACAGTAAGGACCGAAACAGTCCTGTAAGTCACAAAAGTGCAGAACTGCATCTGAACTTAAACATCACTTCCAACCAAAGATGCCGATGTGCAAACAACTTAAAAGAAAAATTTCTGTAACTGTGTCTTTTAATTCCTACATTTAAATAATCTGTAACGTTATCTAAATCTGAAGTTTCTTTTCAGTTATGACACAATGGAAAGGGACAAAAATTTAGCAATTCCTCTAAATGTCATTCTCTACCAATCCAGGCAACATTCTGTCAAACTTCCACAAGATTCAAGTATGGTATTTAAAAATCAAATCTAAAAGTAAAATCAAGACACTAAGCATCAGTGAGATACCCACTCTGCTTTGCGACAGAGCTAGGACTTCATTTTCTTTGGATGAAGCATAATCCTTGGTACAATACCTAAACTCTAGAAGCTCAGCCTTTCTCCCTATAACATGGATCCCATTTCTGCCTTCCAGCTTTCTTTTTCCCTTGCAATCATCTTAGTATGTTCTACTGGAGGGCAAAAAAAAAAAAAAAAAAAAAAAAAAAAAAAAAGGGAAAACAAAATCTGAGTAAGCACTTCCCATTCCTAAGCATATTAAGTGCTTGTTTTCACCTACAGCAGAAACGAGTCTCTGGGTGCTCAACTGACAGGAATGAAGCCTGGGGCTGCATCTATCAGAGAACACACAAGTTTGCTGCAAACGGTAAACTGACTAACTTAGGCAGCTCTTATCCTCCGTGAAGTACTTAGCTAAAACCTCTGGAAGTTGGCTGGATGATCCTTACAGCCTAATAAGGTGACAACAGGGGAATAAAAAGGCTCTCGTTTTCCACAGTACCCCGGGACTTCATCTGGCAATGGTGCTGCACACCACTGCTTTAATAAAGACCTAGATTTTTCCTCTAAGAGCATGGTACATATTATACTGAGGTGATTTTTAAATCGAAAGGGACCTTAAGAGATTGTGCATTCTAAGAATTGTTTGTAACTGTAGAATGGTTTCTTCAAAGCAACTCTCAAGCAGAACTTGGTAGATAGTAGATCTAATCTAATGTAAGAGGGAGTAGGAATCTTGTTTACTTGGAATTAAGCATCCATCTTCCCTAGTGTGCCCCTCCCCCAACAGCAGCTGCACAAAAGCCCAACAACTACAAACCTAACTCAACATTTTTTCATGTTACAGATAAGGAATCGGAGGAAACTGCAGCCTCCAGAGGCTAAGATTCTTGTAACAGAGCTATTAGTGATGTTTAGGAGTCATATACCATTCGTAACAGTGGGTGATCTACAAAGACTTGCATTCTTGGAAAAAAATAATCTGTCAACCAAGAATTCTGGATGAGCCAAGTATTTTCCTACACAGCCTACTGGTGGGCTACTTTGTATCTACATTCAAAAACATTAACTACTAAACCAATGGTAACTGAATGACTTCTGATCCCCTGCCACACTTTACCAGAGCCTCACCTTTCTGCACACACCATTTTCATTTTAACAGTTACACTCCTTTGATTTTGTTCTTTAGTCCATACCCTTGTACAAAATAGGGCTTGATTAGAATTGAGTGCCCTGCTATGAGAATATTTCAAACCTAGGGACCTTGCAAAAATCTTGGTGAGGGACTAAGCATCAAACGTACAACACCGTGCCCATCCTTCCAGGTGTACGCACATCCAAACAGCCCACTCCATCTACCAGGCCTCCTCTCTTACCTGGGAGTTTGGTTGGAATGCAGCATGGGGTGTTGAGTGTTTCTGTAAATTTTCTAGCATTAGAGCCTGGTATAGAGAAGGGCAAAAGTCAGAAACTAGGAGAAAAATACCAGAAAGACCCACTACCCCTTCCCCCCCACTTTTTGATTTGATGCAATGCCTTAAAGGTACACTTAAACCATACACCTTTTCCAGGAACCTGAAAGACCTTTCTAGTACCATTCTCATTCATCTTCAGAAGGCCTTCAAGGGTAGTCATGGTGACTGCTCCTGAGTGGAGGGATGTGCAGGCACCTAGACACTCAATGACCCGGCCAGGTCATCAGACTGATGACAGTGACAGCAGTAGGACTACAGCCTTTATTAACCTCTGAACTCGGGACTCCCACCTCTTATAAATCCAATGGGGCAGGGAACATCAAACACACAAAACAGCTTTAAATACATGAAGCCGAGGCCAGGTGCGCAGTTTGGTTTCACTGAGTTACGGGGTCTAACTGTGACCCAGGATTCGAGCTACTTGAATGAGTTTGTGTAATTTCTAGCAGAGGGATGCTGAGACTTAGCATGTTTCCGAGATTTTCAAAGAAGTCACGGAAGAAAAGGACTATTGCAGACCCGGTACTCTGTGGCTTGCCCTCATCCACACCCCCCACTCAAAACCGCCAGCTTCTGTACCAGCAACGGTCTGCGACTCTCTCAACCCCTAGCCGCAAAATCCGCACTACCTGCCACGTATGCTAATGAACTCTAATCAAAACCGGACACATCCTCCTCTCACTCCGTCCACACCAAGCCTATACACACGGTTCAGTAGCTCACGACAAACCCACCCTAACCTGCTCAAGCCCATCCAAATCCCTCAACGTAAACCAACTGCTCTCACCACTCTCAACGGTATTCACCAAACTCTCACCCACCCAAACTGCTCCTGGATTTCCTACAGCCACCCCTGGCTTCAAATCCAGGTTTCCCTTCAGCTCACTCCCTCTCTCACCAGGCAGACATTTTATCCCACCCCAACCCTCAGCTGGCAGACACCGCCAGCACATCCACCCCCTCCACCCAGCTATACCCCTAACTCCGACCCAGCCCAACTCGCCCCCGGCAGGCCAGCAACGCCGGTGGTAGTAGTGGGATTTAACTCCTTCTGCAGCGCATGCGCCGAGGCCACAGACACAAACAAGGAGGGGGTGGGGGAAGGAGGAAGGAGCTTAAGACACTCCGGGAGAGTAGCGCGCGCCCTCCCATTTTGGGCTCGCGCCGCTGCCGTTAAGGCGGGAACGGGCGCGATCTCCGCTCCAGCGCGAGCCGCACCAACCACCGTGCGCGCGGGGAGGAAAGCTCGCGCTGGCGGCCTCGGAGCTCGCGCCGAGCCCGGACACTGCGCCTGCGCCGCGGCACAGACTCGTCTCTACCGGGTCCGCTCCCCTCCGACACCCCGGTAATGCCGACTCCTCACCCCTTTGAGCCGTTTAACCAGGGCACTCTTCTGCCCGCTCTTGGCTAGGCCTCGCTGCTCCAGTGCGGCCTTCAGGTCGGTCACCCGCAACGCCTGAAGAGGCTTCCCGTCCAGAGTCACCTCCTCCAGCTCCGCCATCTTGCGTGAGGTACTCGGGTCCGTCCCGACGGCTTCGGGCATCTTCGGTAATTTCCGCCAACGCCCTTCGAACCGATCGAGCTGGTCCCGCCCACTGCCTTAGTCTACGCCTCGATTACCACTCAGCACTCCCCGGGTTCTTCCGTAACTATTCGGGTGTTTCCGTTTTCTCGTCGGCGCCAATCGGTTCTTCCTATCCGTCCTGCTGCTCCCCCTCCCGCGGCCTGCTTTCAGGCTCGGTTATCTTCGTTTTGACGAAGCTTTGACTCGAAGGTGTTCGGAAGCGCTCGAGGCTAATATAACCATAATCGGACGTGCTCGGCTGTTTCCGGACCTGTCGCTGGCGCGCTGGGGCGCTTGGGGCTTCGGGGTTGGTCCCGTACCGGAAGTGCGTGGGCAGCCGGGCTGGCCCTGTTTAGGATTTTCAGGAAACGTGGAAGCGGCTGCGGCAGCCGGATTCTAAAGGACTCTCGGGACGATCTCCGGGGACGCTTTGAGAGGAAACGGGAGGTAAGCAAAGCAGCAGGCTCTCTTCGGGTCGGGTTGCACTCCATGTTTGCGGGCTACCTTAGTAGGAAAAGCTTCTCGTTTGCTTACGGAAACCATCTCCCCCCTCCCCCCCCCGTGCCCTGAATTCCTGCCATATCCCCGTTTAAGGTTACGTTGCTATTTTGAGGAGGTAGTAAATGTTATATTAAACATAAAAGTTGGTTATAGGATGTGAATTGCCATGCAGCAGTACTCGTGTGCATAGATCAGAATTTTTTGCACCAAAGTTAATCTTAACTTTTTTCAAAAAAACTTTTAAAGATTTATTTTATGTTTATTTGAAAGGCAGATTTTGCTGAGAGAAGGAGAGACATAGAGAAGGGTCTTCCATCTGCTGGTTCACTCCCCAAGTGACCACAACGGCCAGAGCTGAGCTGAACCGAAGCCAGGAGCCAGGAGCTCTTCCGGGTCTCCCACAGGCAGGGAGCTGGATGGGAAGTAGGGCTGCTAGGACACAAACTGGCATCCAAATGGGATCTCAGCTCATGCAAGGCGAGGACTTTAACCACTAGGCTACCACGCCAGGCCCTAAACTTACCTTTCTGTGGACGCTTTCAAGTGCTGTCGCCTATTAGATCTCTGGGCCAGCGTACCAACTGAACTGTATTTTCAGAGTCTTGTGTAAACTGCTGGCTTTTTATTTCTCCTTGCTGTCTTCAGTGTTAGGTGGGACTTGACCCTCCCTCTGCTCTTTTAATTTTCCCTGGTGCTTTACGGAAAATGTGAGGTAGTGGATATTAGGAAGTTTGGGACATATTTCGTGGGTTCTGTATGCTTCGCGCAGAGGCTGTTTGATTATAGATGATGATTTTGTATGCGTGTGTGTGTCTGTGTGACTGTTTATGGCTCTTGGATGGTCAGTATGTAATCCCTAACTAGCTTCGTGTACTAAATTTACAAGTGTGTATGTTTTTATTTTAGAGTTGTATTGAAACAACAGTGTTTTTTTCTTCATTACCCAAATTGGAACATAGAAGGAGGAGGGAGAGATTGAGCAAGAGATGCTAGTTGCTTCTAGATTCTGTAAAGAAAGAGGGAGTGATTAAGGAAAGGAATGAGTTTGAAGAAGAGAGGAAGGCTGGTGACTATGAAATGCAGTTACTCTCGGGTGACTCCTCTAAGGTAGTTGGACAATATCCTAAATAAAGGACCCAGTTTTCTTGTAAACTCAGTTGATGAGAAGTAATTGTGCCTGTAGCTGCTGATTGAGTGCACTGATTCCTCGGTGCTGGGAAGTTGCATCCTGGCTGGCTGCTCCATCCTGTGCAAGTGTAACAGCACGTTTATGTTTCAGGATGCCGCTGGACTCCTCCTCTTGGTCGCTGCCACTTTCCATGCCTTCGCCCCTGCCCTCGGTCCCACAGGGTGCTGCTGACTCTTCCCCTCCCCCAATGTCTTACATCACCTCCCAGGAGATGAAGTGTGTCCTCCACTGGTTTGCCAGTTGGTCGAGTCCGCAGCGGGAACGTTTCCTACAGGACCTGGTGGCTAAGGCAGTACCGGGGAAGCTGCAGCCGTTGCTCGAGGGTCTGGAGCAGCTCAGCGTGTCTGGGGCCAACCGACCGCCTTGCATCTTCGAGTGCCAGATGCGTCTTTGGGATCAGTGGTTTCGAGGCTGGGCTGAGCAGGAACGCAATGAGTTTGTCAGGCAGCTGGAACTCACTGAGCCAGACTTCGTGGCAAAGTTTTACCAAGCAGTGGCTGCTACTGCTGGGAAGGACTAACCACTGAGCATTCAGATCAAAGAAAGTAACCGCAGCGGATGGGGCAAGGCTGTGACTACACGGCGAGGAGTCGGAGGTGTCCCTTCTGAGGCTGGGGATGTGACCCAGGAGCTGACTAGACCTTGCTGTCCACATGAACACGTCTGTCAGACTGGTGTGAATGTATCCAAGGAAATCCAGATCATCTCTGTCTCATGGTTTGCTTCTTTCTAAGAGATGTCAAACCCTCAAGAATTTGATAGTTGGGCCCAGCGCCATGGCCTAGTGGCTAAAGTCCTCACCTTGAACATGCTGGGATCCCATATGGGCGCCGGTTCTAATCCTGGCAGCTCCACTTCCCTTCCAGCTCCCTGCCTGTGGCCTGGGAAAGCAGTCAAGGACAGGTCAAAGCTTTGGGATCCTGCACCCGCGTGGGAGACCTGGAAGAGGTTCCTGGTTCCTGGCTTCCAATCGGCATAGCACCAGCTGTTGCGGTCACTTGGGGAGTGAATCATTGGACGGAAGATCTTCCTCTCTGTCTCTCCTCCTCTCTGTATATCTGACTTTGTAATAAAAATAAATAAATCTTTAAAAAAAAAAAGAATTTGATAGTTAATTGGCAATTATAAGCAGAAGAAAATCTGTATGTTATAACTCAAGGCCTCCTGCTGGCCCATGAGTAATACAGTCATGGAAAAGTCAAGAGAGGGATACAATTACTTCTTATACACTGTGTGTATTTGAACCCAAATAATAATAATGACCTTTTTCTAAAAGCACATTTTATATTCTTGGAGATGGTAGCAGCATTCCTATTCTGTAAGTTTGTTGTACAATAATGTGAAGATTGACACCCTTTGTAAGGTGAACAGTTTATTTTTTTGTATCAAAATAAAAAATGAACCTTCATAGTCCTAAGGCTCCACCTTTTTTTGTTATTGTTGCTGTTGGAAGATGCAAAGATATCTGGGGGAAGCATTGCAGTGACAGTAAATGTAAGAGCACGCAGTAGATGGATTTTCCAATGAAAGGTAGTTGTCTTCCAAGAAAGGACCCTCTACCCACTCTTTGTCATGCTTCAGGAAACGCTTCCCTTACACTCTGGCTGGGCCCCTTGTACTGTGGATCTCTTGTGGGTGATCAGAGGTGGATGGTCCCACCCGGAGAGAAGCTCGTTTCTGGTAAGCCATGGCTCCTAGCATCCCCCCTAGAATGAGCAGCATCAGGCAGAGTCCAGTGGAGAAGTAATGATCCAAGGTGGCTGGTAACCTATGAACATAGAAGGTAATGTTTGGCCTGGAATAATATCTTGGTTCAGAGGGAGACAAGCTGTACCTTTTATGCTTGGGACACACAAAGACGTACTTTATTTAAACATTATGCTCAACAGGAAGTCTATAAGAACAAATAGAGAACCCAAAGGTAGGAATAAGACCAAGTCTTCCAAGCAAGTTGAGTTGTGGGAAGGAAACCTGACCAGCAGGGAGGTAAGTGGCTTTAAGGAAAGTATCAGAAGACTGAGGGTTGGGAAGCTGGACATGGTACCTGGGTAGTATTTTCTAAATAAGAGCCCTGTGTTCTCGAGATGGGGCAGCTGCTACCGCGCTGTGCTGGGTGAGTCACTAGTGATGGACTTGGGAACATCATGACAGTTTGGGAACTTTTTGAAAATAGGCAGCCCTTACAGGGACAGTAGACACAAGTATGCTTGCTAAAGTGTGGTATAAACATCTGTATAGAGATTTAGAAGAAAATACCTGGAATATTCTCTTACTTGCTTTGCTGTGTGATAAATCTAGCTCCTCCATGATAGACTTCTAGAGGCTTCTGCTGGAGAGACAGGGTCAGTGCTCTGTGCAGCTCAGCAGCCGAAGGCCCTTGACAGCCAGGAGCCTTCCACATGTACACGGTAAACACCAAACCAGTGGTAACTGATGGGCTGTGGAAGTGGCACCTGAATGGACAGTTGGATCTGTCAGTGGAGGTGAAGCTCCTGGAAGGGTGTATTCACGGGGTAACTGTGGACTCAAGAAAGTGCGGTGGACAGTCTTCAGAGGAGAGTTGGGAAGTCAAGGACTTTAACCTTCTCCATGGCCCATTGCATAAATAAATACTCAGAGCTGTCCCCATTACCTGCTGATGCCACCTCTGCTCACCACAGCCTGCAGTATCATCTCAGCCAACTCTTTTCGCTCTTCCATCCCCAGGGAGAAGCCAGGATGCCCAGCTAATCCAAGAGACAGTTGGAGTAGCTGGTCTTGCGTAGAAGGTCTCAGAGGTGGGGAAGTAATGGTATTGAGACCTCTGTGAGTTTGACACAGCCGACCCCGGGGACAAAGGAGAAGACCATGATAGCCAGGTATCTGTAAAGAAATACTTGGCAGGGTATACAGCTTCCTGTGGAGATCAGAGTCCTGAATTTGGGTAGGTTCTTAGTCAAAATATAAATGAAGATTGAAACATGCTGAATGGTACTGCCACTCAAGCCTTTCCCGACTTTTCTGCCCGGCGGGCCGCGATTCCGCCCCTTGTGGCTCTTACCTGTATAGCTTTTCCTGGAAGGCAGAGGACCCAAGGTGACCCCTCCACCTGCACTTGGTATAATCCCCTCTCCATGCACTGATGTAAGTAGCAGCGGCCAACGAGAGCCATTTCCATGGAGTAAGGGACCCAAGAAGGATGCCTGGTTGGGTCTTCAGGGAGCAGCTCTGAAGTAAGGTTGGCAAGGAAACAGCGGCTCTGAGGAGCGTAGATCTCCCCGTGGGGATTCTCGGCCCCAGCTGGCAATCCATTTTCCGTCTTCCAGCACTCACTCTGAAGGGCAGGGTAGAAGGTAGTGTTGTTTGTTACAATGCCCTAGGAGTTGCAGGCCCGCTAAGTTTTCTCTCTACTTACACCATTGGCTAAGGGCTTGTACATCCGGCATCCTTCCAGCATGGGGTCTGAGGAGCAACGTCCCTTGTCCAGGTGCAGGTAGTGGCAGCCCAGCCCACTGTGTGGCAGGAAAGGCAGCGTGACCCTGGGGTCCCCAACAGCTGGACAGTCCCCAACCACTCCACACACAAACCTGCCAGTACAGAAGAAGTCTGAGGAGCCAGTTCCACATGTGGTCACTAGGCCAAATTCCAGGCCGGATCCTGCGTGAGGGGGGAAGGAAAGAGAGAGAGCCCTTTGCAAACAAAGCTGGACATCGCTGATCACACTGCTCATCCCTTCCAGCCTGTCTTCCTCTTGCCCCAACAATGGGTTGGGTCATGAGTGTCCCTTCTAGTGTCCCTGTCTCTCACCTTGACCCCACAGAAGCTCCTCTGCAGCGCTGTGGTTGACCTGGTACCAGCCTGAGTCTTTGAAGGCAGCCAGTGTGATTGGGTCAAGTCGAGTGCGCTGGGCACCATCGAAGGTGGCAGCCATTATAGAGCCCTGGAGTAGTCTGGCCTCCCAGTGTGAGGACCAAGGGCCCTGCTGGGAGAAGTGACGGGTAGCTGGCCTCTGCCTGGTGGCTCTCTTCCATCCCTTCCCCAGCAGTCCCGTTCTGACCTCTTCTTCCAAGGGCACACCTGGAGACATCCCTGACACTCCCAAGTGTTGGGCCAGGCTGTGGCTCACAGCTGGAGTGGTGAGAAGCAACTGACCCCACTCATCCCGCCTTGTCACCTGTTGCCTTGTGGAGCAGTTCTCTGTCACTGAGGACACAAAAAAAGGAGGCACTGTGAGGAGAGAACTTGGGAGAGTTTGGGAGGCATTGGGAACCAGGAGGTAGAAAGCATGAGTTCCTTTGGGGTTTGACACTGCACCATCCTCTTCCTCAGGCCTCCCTCTTTACCACTGGGTCCCCAGGGGCAATCTCGCCACTTCTTGAAGAGCTGTCCAGAGAAACCCAAGGCGTGAAGCAGTTCATGTAGTGTAACCTGAGGACACGAAGACGTGACAGCTGAGTGAGGGGGCTGGATTTGTGGTGGGGTTGCCCAGTCATCCTTCCTCACAGTTTGGGATGCCTTCTATTCCGTTCTTCAGGCGCTTCTGCTTCACGGGGAATGGAGTGACCTGCCCCTCCCACCCCCACCATGTTGCTTCCCCCTGTTCAGCATGCAGCAGTCACCGTGACAAGGTCCCTGTCGCTGAGGCTGGGGCTGGCAAGGTGATGGGCACAGTAGATAATGGTGCCAGCAAGCGGCCTGTCTTCTCGGTCCAGCTGGCAGTAAGCAGCATAGGCTATGACAGAGGGCTGGGGGTGGGCCGGGACAGGGATGGGGGAGGTGGAAAAAAGGAAAGTGGGGTTACACAGATAGAAAGGAACCAGGGGACTTGGCAGAACTCTCCAGGGTGGTACCAAGAAATGTCTGGGTATGTGTATCGGGGAGTAGCTTCCACCCCAACTTTATCAGCAGGATTTGTGATCCTCAAACAACCCTTTATATACTTTATGCCTTTTTCCGCCTCATAAGCTTTTAAGATTGAGGGCAGGACAGAAAAAGGAATCTGATTTGAGCCTTACCTCTTGGTGGCATTTGGAAGTGTGGGCGACTTGCACATACAGGAGAAAATCGGTGTTTTGGACCCCAGGTCCATCTGGCTGGACCATGCGTGGGGGACCCTGTTCAGGCCACAGGGCGTATCCACGGAGATGAGCGTCAGGAATCTGGTGGGGAGCACAGCGGAGCAGCTAGCTTAGGAGATGGGCTGGGACTGGGAAAGCGGGTACTAGGAGTATGGGAAAGGGTCTTGGGTTTGCCTTGGTGTCATCTCAGCATTGGATAGAATACAGAATCTGCTTCCCTCCCCGCCACTCAAGTCTCAGATTTCAAGTGTCAGGTGGAGTAATGTACAGTTAAAAGCCCAGCAGCTCTACTGTGCATTGTCTTGGAGAGGTCTAAACCGGGGAGAAATGACTCTCACCTTTGCCCCCAGGCAAGCCTCTCCTTTGTACCCTGGGTTCAAGAGGCTGCACCTGCCGAGGATGGATGAAGCTCTGTGGTTGGGCCCAAGCCACTGTGTGTGTAGGTTCAGAGGTACACGTTCCCCATGACACAAACTCACCTGTGGTAGTTTGGGGTACCTGGGTCTCCCCAGACAGCGAGGCAGTACTGTCCTGGGTCTCGACTCAGAAGCAGGGGTCCCTGCACTGGAATGACTGAGCAAAACGAGGGATCAAGTCCACCTTGCCACCTTCAAGCTGCTGTTCCCTTGCTGGGTTTACCTCCCCGCCTGACCTCTCAGCTCTCCGCCCTCCCTGAGTCCCCTTCTTCCACTCACCCGCAAGGAAACCCTGGATGCGCCGAGTGGCCTCTCTCACTGCGTCCAGGGCTCGCGTTCTCCCTCTGGCCCCATCCCCCCTGGGATCCCAGGTTCCATCTGATGTAGGAACCACTATATAGCAGGTTTGAATTCGCAGAGGTTGAGGATTGTAGGAAGCGGAGAGAGAGAGAGCGGAAGAGCGGGGCTTTGGAGGAGCTTGTGTGGAAGGGGGCCTGAGCAAGTTCACAGACTTCTGGGTCTCATCATGAAGGCACCTGCTCGCGGCGGTCCTAAGCAGTGCTGGCAGCAGGAGCAGCAGCAGCGGCCTCTGGCATCTCCCCATGATCTGCCAGCTTCCCGTCTTCTGTGCCCCTCTGAACCTCTCTCTTGCTTTCCAACTGCCTTTACTTTCTCCCACATGGCTGCTTGCTTTTTCAGGATTGGAGTGTTGTTGACCAAATCTACCAGGAGGTCAGATGAGCTCCCCAGGTGGAGTGCTGGGGAGGGGGAGAGGAAGAGGAAAGGGCGGGGGGAGAACCTGTCCCTTTGGAGTTGGGAAATTCTTCTCCTAATTCTTTCCCAACCCTCAGTCCTTCGTCTAAATTGTCCTGCCTTTCCCAGCGGAACACCCTGGAACCTTCTCAGAGCTCTCCAAGACCGACTGATCAAACAAAGGCAATCAGTGTGCACCTGAGGGACTGTTTGGTGGGGTTTGGGTGTAGGGAGGTGTTGGGGGGTAGACTTGAACGAGCAGAATGCAAACTACACACCTGCACCACCCCAGCTCTAGTGTGGCCCCTGGTGGCCTCTAGCTGAAGTGCAAGTCATTCAGGCTCTTCCCTCCCTGCGTGGGGAGCTGTTGGGATTTGGTCACAGTTGCCTGTCCTGTGTGAGAGGCTGCGGGGAGAGATTTATGATGTTTTGGCAGGTGGAGAGGATAAACTCTTCCAACGGACATTGTGGTGGAAGATAACTTGTGGAAGGTCCTGGTCATCCTTGCCCAGCTGTGTTTTCGATATCCTGTTCCCCCTGCCCGGCTGCCCCGCCTCCTCCTGCCTGCCTGACTAATCCTGGCCTTTCCTATAATTAGCCCCGGAAGCCTGTCTTTAAAAGCCTGCCTTTAACACCTCCAGCCCAAATTCCACATCTGCCAGAGGGTTCTTTTCCACCTGGGGTGGGCGGCTCCTGGCTGAACACTTCCACTGTAATTGTTGGGTTAGGGGTTTGTCTTCCACACTCAGGTTCCTTTGAAGTAAGTGGCCCTGTCCGGTTTTTGAGCCCACCACCCACCCATTGGTGCCTGGGCTAAGGGGAAGGTGCGGGGCCAGATAAGGACTAGAGTTAGATAAGGCCTGCTGAGTTCCCAGGGAGGAGCCACACCTGTGACTGGACATGCCCAGGACAAAGCCAAAGCTGATACCCAAAGACTGGAGCCACACCCACTCTGCTGTGTGCCGCCTGTGTAAATTAGGCCAAATGCTTCAGTTTTCCCATCTGTGGAATGGGAATGGTTGTATTTATTTTAGAGTGTTAAGAGAAGGGGATAGTTGTGAAGCATAGGAAACAATTCATGATAAACACTAGCTCGAGGGCCAACATTTTGGCACAGTAACTTTTTTTTTTTAAAGATTTATTTATTTTTGGGCCCCAGCGTGATGGCACAGTGGTTAAGGTCCTCGCCTTGCACACCCTGGATTCCATGTGGGCGCTGGTTCTAATCCCGGCAGCCCCGCTTCCTATCCAGCTCCCTGCCTGTGGCCTGGGAAAGCAGTCGAGGACGGCCCAAAGCTTTGGGACCCTGTACCTGCGTGGGAGACCCAGAAGAGGCTCCTGGCTTCGGATCGGCATAGCATCAGCCATTGCACTCACTTGGGGAGTGAATCATCGGACGGAAGATCCGCCTTTCCAATAAAAATAAAATAAATCTTTTTTTAAAAAAGATTTAATTTATTTTTAATACAAAGTCATATACAGAGAGGATGAGAGACAGAGAGGAAGATCTTCCGTCCGATGATTCACTCCCCAAGTGAGCACAAAGGTCAGTGCTGTGCCGATCTGAAGCCAGAATCCAGGAACCTTCTCCAGGTCTCCCACACGGGTGCAGGGTCCTAAAGCTTTGGACCATCCTTGACTGCTTTCCCAGGCCACTAGTAGGGAGCTGGATGGGAAGTGGAACTGCCAGGATTAGAACTGGTGCCCATAAGGGATCCTCACGCGTTCAAGGCGCAGACTTTAGCCACTAGACCACGCTGCCAGGCCCGGCACAGTAAGTTAACCCACCATCTACACTGCTGGCATCCCATGTGGATACCTGTTTGAATCTCAACAGTTGGCTGTAATACTTCCCATCCAGCTCCCTGGGTGCTCGCTTCGGCAGCACATATACCAATCCAGCTCCCCGTTAGTGTGCCTGGAAAAGCAATGGAAGATGACCCAAGTACTTGGGCCCTACACTCATGTGGGAGACTCAGAAAAAGTCCCAAGCCCTCAACATCTTCCTAGCCCAGCCCCAGCCATTACAGCCATTTGGAGAGTGAACCATGGGCCAGAAGATCTCTTATCTCTCCATCTTTGTCTAAAAGAATCTTTAAAAATACTAAGTCAGAAGACCGGCATGGTAGCCAAGTGGCTAAAATCCTCACCTTGCATGATCTGGGATCCCATATGGGTGTTGGTTTGTGGCTTGCTGTCCCACTTCCTTTCCAATTCCCTGCTTGTGGCCTGGGAAAACAGTTGAGGACGGCCCAAAGCCTTGGGATCCTGCACTTGCATGGGAAATCAGGAAGAAGCTCCTGGCTCTTGGCTTTGGATCAGTTCCACTCCAGTGACTGTGGTCACTTGGAGATGAAGGATCTTCCTACCTTTCTCTCCTTCTCTCTGTAATTCCGACTTTCCAATAAAAATAAATCTTTTTTAAAAAAGTTTAAGATCTGAAAAAAAAAGTCAAGCAAAGAATAAATACGACACATACACTTTCAACTGAGACAACTTGGATCAACATGTAAAAATCTTTAAGGGACTCTTGTTCTTCCTGTTAGATGGGCCTAATCTTTTGTGCGAGTGCCTGCAGCCTACCCCCTATTCCCGGTGGAGGAAACACTCTGCGTTTAGATTTGTGTGAATTACTGCTCCTTTGGCTGCTGCAGGTGCTCCGGCCCAGGTCCGCAACCGCAGCTGGTGCTTTGCTGCCCCCTTGTGGTTACATTGAGACAGGGGGAGTGCTTTTTGTTTTTTTTTTTTTTAGATTTATTATTATTTTTTTTTTGTTACAAAGTCAGATATACAGAGAGGATGAGAGACAGAGAGAACGATCTGCCGTCCTATGATTCACTCCCCAAGTGACCGCAATGGCTGGCGCTGTGCTGATCTGAAGCCAGGAGTCAGGAACTTCCTCCAGGTCTCCCACACAGGTGCAGGGTCCCAAGGCTTTGGGCTGTCCTCAACTGCCTTCCTGGGCCACAACAGGGAGCTCTGTGGGAATTGAATCAGCCAAAATATGAACCAGCGCCTGCCCATTTGGGATCCAGGTGCTTGCAAGGTGAGGACATTAGCCACTAGGCTACCACAGCAACTCCCAAATAAGTATCTTTTAAACCCACTTTTCCACATATTTTTTAAATACCCTTGTGTGTGTGTGTGTGTGTTAAAGATTTATTTTTATTGGAAAGGTGGAGAGACAGAGAGGAGGAGAGACAGAGAGGAAGATCTTCCGTCTGATGATTCACTCCCCAAGCAGCCCCTGTGGCTGGAGCTGTGCCAATCCGAAGCCAGTAGCCAGGAGCTTCTTCCAGGTCTCCCACGCAGGTTTAGGGTCCCAAAGCTTTGGGCCATCCTCAACTGCATTCCCAGGCCACTAGCAGGGAATTAGATGGGAAGTAGGGCTGCCAGGATTAGAACCGGCACCCATATGGGATCCTGGCACACTCAAGGTGAGGACGTTAACCACTGTGCTATCGCATTGGGCCCAAAATAAATAAATCTTAAAAAAAGAAGAAGAAGAAGAAAGAAAGAAATGAGACAGACACAAGACTTTGAAAACTGGTAGCTGGAGGGAAGTCCCTCCTCTGAGGAACGAAGTCCAGGTTGGGAGCTCTGTGCCTCAGTCTTTCATTGGACTGCTTGAGGAGTCCAATCGCAGGAGTTGATGTGGCATGAATGTTGTTAGCTATGTCCCCGTGATGAAGAGGAAGTGACAGCCTGAGTGCAGAAGCCAGTAGGTGACTCAGGGACATCCTAAAGCACACAGTCCTATGACTTGGAATGTTGCTCAGCTGTGGACCCTTGCCTGCAGGCCTCGACCTTGACCTTGAACTTTCGCCCATTCACAGACCATGGCCCACAGAGTCTCACCTCCATCTCTGGCACCAGCAGTCTGTGAACTCAAGATTCCAGACACAGGCTGCTCTGCTCTTCTTTATAAGTCACACTGTTATTTTTCACAAAATGCCTGCGGCAAAGCAGGACCCCCTAACCCCATGAGGCCACATCTGCTCTCTGCCTTCCGCACTACAAATCCTCCTGGATAAGAGCCGCCCCCCAGCCAGCCCCGCCACCCTGTTGTCCTTCCCATCACACATCCTCTGCTAACCCCCAGCCCCAGATGGTGTCTGATGTGCACCTGCTCCCAGGCAGCCAAGGCCCCCTGTCAGAAACCATCCCCCATGTCAGGCCGTTGTCACTCTAAAACTGTCATCATAGACTCGCACTGGACACACCCCAGCTGGGCGTCTCAACAGCCAGCCTCACTGTCCTCAGCAGCTAGGAGCTGACACCGCCGAGCCCCCAGCCACCTGTTACAAGCCTTTCTCAGTGTCTTTTGCCTCTCTTCTCGTTCTTATTGAGAGAAGTGCTTTTTCCTAAGAAGGCAAGTTTCCTCTGCTGCTCTGAATCCCGCCAGCAGGAGTTGGGGCTCAGCCGCCTCAGGGCCTCACCCCAAGCGTGTGTCTCCACCCCTAGATGAGCATGCCCCGCCCCCAGCCTCTGCCCGGGGATGGGGGAGGGTCTGCTCCTGCAGTTGTACGGGAGCTGGGCTCCCTGCGGGACTGACCTGCTGTTTACCAGACAAGTTCCTGCTCATTTTTTTTTAAAAATATTTATTTATTCGAAAGGCAAAGTTACAGAGAAAGGGAAAAAGAGAGAAGGAGATCTTCCATTTGTTACTTTACCCTCTCAAATGGCCTGGGCTGGACCAGACCAAAACTAGGGGCCTGGAACTCCACCTGGGTGTCTCAGGTGGGTGCATTGAGCACTTGGGCTGCGTTCGCTGCTTCCTCAGGCTAATTCACAGGGAACTACATCAAACTGGAACAGGTACTCATTTGAAATAGTGTTGTAAACAGCAGC